GTATAAATCGATTTGAGAAGCACTGCAATGAAAACAGATTCGTATTCAAGTCGCTGTCTGTTTGCAAAGACACTTCATAATCGATATATATTAGTGAATTTAGTCTATTTAAGCTATACAATTGGTATTCCAATTATTGATTTTAATCCTCAAGTGAATGAATCAGTAGAGAGTTCGTCTTTGTATACAAGTGATATAAGTACGAAACTTGTAATGTCGATCCTTGATCAACCAGTGAACGACACTCCATTAATGAATCGACTGTTTCTAGGTTACTTCAGATTCTTTGATCAAAAGCAAAGATTGACGCAAGATTTTTTGTAAAAAGATTTGAACTTGACTGAACAACAGTTTATTAGCTTATCACTGATCTTTCGGATAGAACACAAGTTCAAGCATAAGATATTCTTACTTTCATGTCGGTCATTTTGTAAAATGGATTCTGTCTTTTTCGGTTTTGCCATTGTTCATCTCATGTCAGCTTTTCTCTACTGGTGGCCTTGGACTAGACATTCGTGGCTGGACATTATTATGATACCTGAATATCTAAATCATGTAGAAGTTGGATTGTACCTTTGGTCAATAAGTTGGTATTCAAGGCAAGATATGTTAGGTGGCTACTATACATTAGCAGTGCATAAAGTAGAGTTGGAAGCAGCGATTGTTGAACTGTTTGCTTCGTTCGGCTGGTTTGGGTATAATAGGATAAGTAGTAATCAGTGTTGTCATATTCTACAAAGATCTGACTAAAAACATACAATGCACGATAGTCTACCGATCTCCAATCCTTTCCTGACAAGTCATTTGTTTGAGAGCTTAACTCTATATTTGTAAAAACTCGATTGCTTTAATTGACTACTTTCTCAATACAGTTCTACATCTTACTGTTATAGTTGGTTGAGAATTGCGTGCTAATAAAATGAAAGCAACAGACTCATCTTCTGTTAAAGGTTTCTATTTTTCAAATTCGAAGTTCATAAAAAAGAAACAAAATATGGAGGGAGAGTGAACTGAATGATGATCAACATCGACTACAAACTGTATTTGAGACATTATCTTTTTAGGATCATGTCTTGGTACATAACCTACACTCGAGCATTAAGTCGTGGCTTTGCCCTCGATGACCCTGATGTTATCCCATATTCCTGCACCATCATTAGCTCGATCATCTATCTGGTCTACAACATTCAGATCAATGTTGAACCAGAGTTGTATGACACCAACTATTTGTATACCGGCTTGTCCAAACGTAACGCTGTTACATTTATTGACACAGTGTTCTTCAATTAACTCGGAAGGTTTAACAGCTAGAAAGTTCATTCAAACGCCATTCGACACAGCTTATCAAACTCTATTTATGCTATAAGAACGACCTTTTTCGGCTGAAGTCTCGAACGTCAAGAAAGGTTTTATTATCGCGTAACGCTGTTACATAAAAAGACCTTTTTTTCCCAGTACCGCCGAGAAAACTCTAATTTCTAGCGAAACTATTTCTCCAAATGAAAACTTTCCAGAGTCAGTTTTGTACAGCATCGAACAAGCTTTTAGGCAGTAAAAAAGATTTTTCCTAAAGCATTTTTGCTCAGATGAAAAATGCAAACGTAACGCTGTTACACAGTTTTTTGTGGACCAGTTTTGAGGCACTTAACATGTTTAGAATGGTTTGCTTTTTACAAATGTTACTCATTTCCGTGTAGATAATCTTCTACATAAGAATGAGATTGATACATCGATCCGAGACCTCATAAATCGGACAGTAAGTTGGAAACTGTGTAAGAGTCTGCAATTTGTCTTTACTTACAAAAGTCAAAACGAAATAGAGCATTTTGTAGAGAATTAAATTCTGCATCGAATGGTATGTCTCTTAATATTTTTTCAAATTTTTTTTTGGTTAAAAAATTCAAAATATGATTTTTCACAAGTCTAAAAACCCGGTTTTTGATTCTAAAACCTAACTTTTTTACAAAATAAATGTCAAATTCGTAATCAGCGCTAAAAATTGCATCTAGTAACTCATTCAGATTTGTCCAACTCGAAAAAAAATTTTTCGAAACTTGATCAGCGAAGTGTCACGTTACGTGGACAAGCCGATACCTATGTTGATATCTTGTATTTTGTTGGTGCTTGCTACTATGTTTTCGCAGCTCTTCGTGACGAGGATTGATTTGGTTTTTTACCACTGGCCGGTCAATATAGTGTAGCAGGTGGACTTTTACATGTAGAAACAAAGAATCTACCACAGATCGGCAAACCGGCGGTATTGATGACCGATGTATGCCGACATCAAATATGAAAGAGGCACCATTAGAAATGAAACCCATTGATCTTATAATCATGGCACATGTGTAAAGAACATTTTCATCGTCATCTTTAAAGATTCCGATTGAAATAAATGCGCTCGCATGAGCACCTCTTCAGAAAGTAAAGGTATGAATGCGCGTGACTGTAGAGAATATGTAGAGTCACTATTATATTCATTCTTTGAGACCGAGTTAATTGCAATAAAACAAGGCGAAGTTTTTAGATATTCTAGTCCAGATTAGAAAGTACCTGTGCACGTTATTCTTCTATTATTACCTTTGATGATGAATGCTTTCATTAAATAGTATTTTGTTTTGTGGCTTCAATACTTTACTCCATTCAGATATGTATGTTTGTTTTATTGTTAAAAAAACGAAAGGGAGCAACTTAATATACAAAAACGCACACTCATTCAAACTCTTGACCATAATAAGCAAACCGCAGAACAAAATATTGAAATAATAGCAATAAGAATGAAATATACAATAATCGAATAGGAAAAAAAGGATAAGTATTAGTAATATAATGAGTAGAAAAAGAAAAAGAACCCCCAAAAAAAACATAATGTTTTTATTTTTATTGTTTTTGTTCTTAGCAACACTTGCACACGACTAGTTTAACAAGATGTTAGTTTATACTTTTCGACTAGTTATTTCACACATAACATAATAATAGAAATTTATCTTAGACCATAATACAGCCACCTTTACGTTTCTTCTTTCGTGCTAAAGCAGCTCGTGCTGCATGTTCAAATACTTCACGTACACCTTCTTTTGTTTTAGCTGAACATTCAAGATAACCAACTGCACCAATTTTTTCAGCCATATTACGTCCTTCTTCACTACGTACAGGCTCTTGTTTCATTTTCATTAATTCTTTTTTTGTTGCTTCATCATTACGTAAATCTTTTTTATTTCCAACAAGTACAATTGGAACGTTCGGACAAAAGTGTTTTACTTCTGGTGTCCATTTCTAATAAATTTTGTTATATTAAAAAATTAATGTATATATATATATATATGTACTATTTACCTCAGGAATATTCTCAAGACTATCCGGACTATCAATAGCAAAGCACATAAGAATAACATCTGTATCTGGATATGATAATGGACGTAAACGATCATAGTCTTCTTGTCCAGCTGTATCCCATAATGCTAATTCAACTTGTTTTCCATCAACTTCGATATCAGATACATAGTTTTCAAAGACAGTTGGAACATAAACTTCAGGAAATTGATCTTTACTGAATACAATTAATAAACAAGTTTTACCTAAATACAATGAAAAACCGATTTCCACAAAAATAAAATAAAATCCATTTATATAACTAACCACAAGCACCATCACCAACAATAACGAGTTTTTTACGTAAAGCAGCCATTATTTCTATCTAAAATATGAAGATTTTTTTTTGATTGATTGCGTTTGAAGGAGAAGAAAACAATAACATTTGAGATAACACGGAAACTGTACAGATACCATTAAGGAATATAATTTAACTCCTATAAGATGTTTCATTCATAACAGTTTACTTCATTTATTTTTATTGAAAAGTATTAATTAAACATTTACTATTAATATTTAATATTCTTTCTTTAAATTTCTAAATAAATTCAAAAAGTTATTAATAGATGTCACTAGATATCAGGAAATTATTTACAATGATAATAAGTAATAAAACTCATAATATGAGTTCATATGCATGAAAAAAAAATCTTTTATTTTACTATAACAAGAAATCAACTATATTCCTTATTTTATTTCTAATGTGAACAATAAGATAATAATAAAAAATATGTCATTATGTGCGTCATATCAAGATTGAAATGTCAGACACGAGGTTATATGCGCGCGATCGACTGCGAAGAAAAAACATATACTATTTATCTGACACAAGAATAGTAAATTAAAGAATGTCAGAAAATTAGATTCAATTCTTTCAATTAGTTCCATCAATCATTGTCATTACATTTGATGACAAAAATACCATCACAATAGTACTATTCTGTCTGTATTAAGAAAAATGCCTAAAGCTTATGTATATAAAATACTACTATTTGACTATCATTGTGATGCAAAACATAAGAAAAATCGCTCTTCTATCTACCCATATTTTTTTCTTAGCATTTATCAGTATCTCTATGTGATCTCTCTGTTGTATCAAAGATATTGTTGAAAGAGAAAATATAAACGACAAGAATACTACTGATAAATAGTAGCTTGAGTATCAAGGTCAGAAGATTTCTTTTTCTTTTAGTGCTAATGAGATTGATTGACACATTACATATGCCCAATGGGATTGACATATCAACCGATTATCTTGTTCATCTTTTATCACATATGTTGAGGTAATAGTACGGGTGGTTTTGTGGTTTAAAATATGGAGACGAGATCATAAAGAATAATCGTTTTTTTTTTGTTGATAATGACAATCGTTCACATCTTGATTGATAGACTTTGTGCAGTCATTTATAAATACAATTCAATTTTTTGTCACATGTCAATCCTTTTCACTAGATTCTTATTCTTTTAAGATATCATAATTGATGTTCTGAACACTATTTATATATCAAAAACACTGAGCTGTTATCACACATTCAGTCTTTTAACAAATCTCATTCACAACTGTCAATAAGTAGTTTGTTCAAGTATATCAATGATATATATATATATAATTTTCTTTTTTACTAGATAAAATGTTTGTTTTCTACTTATCAATTGTTCATTTAACTTTAAGTCAAGATTTCATCGCTCCGTTAATATTTTCCGATTGTACACATTTAATCTTACCATCTCTTTGTCAATGTTATCATTCAGGTGAGCAATCTCAATTGCATTGTCATAATATACAGTTAAATTTCATACCAAAATTACCAAATAATATGCATTGGTATGCATTAGATTTTTCATTAAATAATATTAAATCTGTTGATAGTTATGTATTTTCTGATATATATGTTGAAAAATTAAATTTAAAATCAAATTATCTTCAAACAATTGATATAACTGCATTTGATCAAATCAAAAATTTAAAACAATTATTTCTCGATCATAACCAATTGAAAAAAATCGATCCCAAAGCATTAATTTCTCCAGGCGTTAGTTTAGGTAAAACTTTAATTACATTGAACTTCTACTTATTTTCTTTTTTTTTCCGAAGAAATTTTTGATCTTTCATATAATCCACTTGAATATTTGGATCTTGGTCAAATATTTATTCATTTATCACTCCTAAGAGAATTTTATGCTGTATCATGTCAATTAACTAATTCAAGTTTATTTACATTATTAAAATTAACTGAATATCATCATCATATAAAAATAATTGATTTAAGTCATAATAATCTAACATCATTATGTAATAATTTATTTAATAATTTTTATAATTTAATTGAACTTCGTCTTAATAATAATAATATTCATTCAATTGATAATTATTTTATTCGTTCACTTAATTATATAAGAATATTAAATTTAGCATTTAATTCAATTGAATATGTTCCAAATTTATTTAGTTCATCACTTGAAAATTTAAATTTATCATCAAATAATATTCGACATTTAAATGATTATTTTGCATCAAATCTTCATTCAATACGTTTAATTGATTTTGATTCAAATAAATATTTAAATTCAATATCACCACGTTCATTTTGTTTTATAAACATTTTAACATTAAAAAAATTATCATTTCGTTATAATAATATTTTTTTATTAAATACATTTTATGAATTATTATGTCGTTTATTAGAAAATAATAATAATCAAAGTATTCTTGATTTAAATCATAATCCAAATTTAAAATGTAATTGTACGTTAATACAATTTGAAAAATATTTAATTAATTATTTGGATTTAACATGTACACATCATGGACAAGATCGATATTTTATATCAAAAGTAACGAATTTATTTTCAAATTGTACAAGAGATTTTTGTATAAAACAGAAAAAAGAACATTTATGTGAATGGACTAATGCAGAAAAATTGATATTAGAAGGAACATGTCAAGTACAATTGATCAAAAAAGAAAATTCAACAAAGAACGAATCAGAATTAATAATAACAATAATGAATTCAAATTTATCTGAGATTATTGTTGATAATGCAACAAAATTTTATAACAACACACAAAAATCTTTTGCACTATCAATCAAAAGAGTAGATTATATTTGGTTTTTTATCGTATTATTTTTATTATATATATGACATTCCATAGGTTTTCTCATGAAATAAACAGTAGGTATTGAATCTCTTTATATAGATCTAATAATTTATTTAAACTAATTTTGATTAGAAAATTAAATGAAGCATATAGTTTGCATGAACAAAAAAAAGACATCTATTGATTGAGAGTACAAAACAATTGTGTTTTTATCAAACACATCCGGTTGCAACAACTTTTTGTCTACGCTAGAAGATCTTGATAAATTTCTTTATGATCTGTTTTCCTGTGCAAAATAAACGAAATACTTAACTTATTGAATGACGTCTTCATATTATGATCGAATCGATTGATATTGAGTCTATTCGAAAAGTTTCAGCCATGTTTAATGAAAATTTATTGAAAAATTGGGGTCTGATGGACATATGTGTAGATGAAACAAATTTTTTTTTTTTGTTCTTATCGTCTTTTTGGTTATTCTCTCTGCATTTTACTAACATCAACGTTAGTTAAGTGAATAAAATTTTATGGGCTTTTTGTTCTCTTTGAGGTATTTTTCTTCAAAAGCCATCGAAAAATGTTATAAAATCGTACTCATTTTGTAAATGTTGACGTTAATAGATAATGAGAGAAAAATCAAGCGAACAAGAACAACAAGACACTTTTATTACTCCTAAATAAGAATTAATGACATCGAACTGTTATTTTTCTTTATGACATTTAAATATTTATGGCTGAAATTTTCCGAGCAAACTGAATAACAAGACATACATCCTTAATGTAAATATAAATCTAAATGACAATATTATGGAGACGTAATTGAGGAAGTTAGATGTACCATTTTGTATACGACGAGAAATATCAAAATTTTCCTTTGGAATCAAACTTAAATCATACGAACGTGCGGGTTAGAATTCATTGAAAACAAACAATATAGAATTGTTCCACAAATAACTAACATAAAACTCGGTCTCTTCCACAGCAGACAATCTGCCATCAGGTCGTCTCCCGCCCTCCAATTCAATTCACCTCGTAAGGACATTGTTTGCTGATTTTTACTTCACTTTCTGTCAGAGAAAGACAAATGACGTTTCAAAACCCTATTTTTTTGCTGAAAGTTACCGGAGAACTGTAAAAAAATGGGCAGAAAGTCAGACTCTTCAAGAGAAGATGGGGCAGAGAGTTTCTTCTCTCTCTCTGATCGAGAACTCTGGCATCATTAATAATGTGAGTGTTTATAGTAGAAACAGATATTTTATTACTATTAAAAATGAACTTTTCACATTTGTAATTATTGTTTCAGCGAACCTTAAAAGTCTAATTTGATAATTCTCATTATTTCTTTCAATCCATATAAGATGTGCGAGTCTTGTTGTTTAGTTGTATTTCAATGAACATAAATTAGTAGTTTGACTCTTTCTAATAGCTAAAATGTAAAGAACAAATGTTTCATACTGCCGAAAGTAAAAGTACATAATTTGAGTTCAACATACAAGTCCTGATCTTGAACTACAAGTTAATATCGATAGAAAATCAGTATCCAACACGATTCTTTTCTTTTTAATGAAATAATAGAATATTTTTGCACTATTTTCAACAAAAATAGTTGACATATAAATCATTCTTCATTTAGTGATTAGAAATTAAAATTCATTTCAAATTATCAATAATAATTAAATGTTTGATTTTTGTTGAATAAGCCTATTTAGAGTTTTGACACATTAATTATATAATTTATATTTTTCAAAATTTCTTTTTTTTTTTTATTAAAATAAAGCAATCAACCTAATATAAATATCTTATTTTTCATTATCTAATTGTTCTTTTAATTTAATATGTTCAACATTAGTTGGCAAACCATACGATTGTAATTTTGTCCAATATGGCCAAATTTTAGTTGGATAAATATTAAAATCAACAAAAGCTTTAATGTACATTGTATCTTGTTGAACATAACCAAATTCTTTATTATAAATTTTCCATAATGGACAAAATTCTGGAATACCTCCACTTTTATTAGCATCCATTTTTGGCTGTTGAAAGCAATCACTATATAAATCAGGTGTTATTGTATGAATAACATGATCTTGTTTTGAATTACGATCATATAAGCATAATGTAATCGGATATTTAAATGGCCAATTCAATAATGAATCATATTCTCCACGCATAATTGTAATATATAATGATAAATATTCATTTCGAACAGTTTTATCACCATTTAAATATAATTTTAGCGATATTTTATATCCATATCTTGAAGTATAAAACGAAGGAGAATTAATAAATGTTGATTGTGATGCATTTTTTGCATTACGAAATGATTGTTGAATATTATCAATTCGCCATAGATATGTTCCATCATTATGAATATATGACTTCGATAATTCAAATTCTTTTTTTAATTGACATAATTCACCTTTAAATAATTGTAAATCAACAGATACACGTGTTAAATCACGTTCACGTTTTATCAGCATTGATTGAAGAGATTTTTGTTCCAAACGTAATTGTTCAATTACTTCAGTTTGTTTAATTAGTTCATGTTGTAATGATTTAATATCGAAATTTTCAATTGTAGATGATGAAATTGGATGTATAGATGATGGTTGTGAATAAGTTGGTATTGATTGATTTTGAAATAATGAGCAAACATCAGCAAGTATTTGTAAATGTTCAATCGATGACGATATAATATGATCTTGAAGAGCTTCTCGACGAATCTGTTAAAACAAAAAAATACATAAATAAAGCTCTTAAAGATTACAACTGGTCAAACTGAAATTTTTTCTGTAGGGACTTAACACAAAATCTCCAAGGTATTTTGACAGCTTCTTGAAAAAAAGATTTGTGAACTAGCGCTTCCTATGTTTTTCTCATTAAAGAATCGAGAAACTAATATTTTTCACTCTTTGAGATTTTGTCTCAAATATCTCCAAAGACATTTCAATTCAATCAGGCAAAATAAGACTGAGCTTGTAAACAGGCCCAATGGTTTTTGAAGATCTCTTCAAAAACTTCTGAACATTTTCTTTTAAAAATTTTTTGTCGAATATAGATACCATAATTTTCGATAATCTGTCTGTGGTAAAAATCTGAGCCTCACCCAGTTGTACTCTTGAGAAGAACCAGAATTAGTCCAAAAGAGTAGGTACTTCTAACATCAAGGATAGATCTCGTCTAGACTTTTTATGGACAGCACTCATCTGCACACCCTCAAGCCGATCGATCAACTGACAAATCAATCAGTTTAAAATTACCTATTACATTTCAATAGCAATCATAGCAATATTGGAAGAAGAGAACAAATAATTTCATTGAAATTCCTACGATATTCTTCAACTCATGAAATGTATAGCGGCAAGCAAAAGTTTAGATCATTTGAATATTTTGAGTGTTCTCCTCAGATGGCGACATCTTAGAAACTGAAAACCTCTAAAACTGGTTTTCTTGAAGCTTTTTACAAATGGATTTATTTCATAGAGCAAATATTTCTAAGCAAAATTAAATCTCTCAATTCTAAACACATGGGAGGCCAAGGGTTTTTGGTTCAGTTCCGCACACATCTACTTAAATGTAACATTTAGAGAAAAAAAAGAACACGATTAACAACTGAAAAACTAGATAAAGCGATCTTTTTAAATAACAATTTAACTTATTCACAATGATTTTGTAAATGAAATGGGAAGATATGGCTTCTCCATCAGTTATTTGCAATCAATGTGCATTATCAAAGGATTTATCATAATGATATTCACAAAAAAATGCAGTCCGTGGATGACAAAGACATATTTTAGTGTTTCTAATGATAAAACTATTTATTTTACTTTATACAGGCGTGAATATGATTATGATTTGTTTATTCATTAAGATTTAATATTTACAGATGATATTTGTATTAGACGATATTAGCATTAAACTACTATCGGAATTTTAAAAGAAGACCGGTGGAAAAAAGCTTATAATTTTTCAACGAAAAGCCAAAGCGACCTGCGGATTTCGCCATTTGAAAGAGCAAAGTGGGGCACGTGAACCTATGTAAAAATCGATGGGTCAATTCATAAAAGTACCTGTTACCTGGATTTTCAAATTTGGCACAAGTTTGCAGTGAATATATCCATTTTTGATATTTAACCTCGGAATATAACTGATTCCAACATCAGATATACAGTAGACGGTGCCTCTGTATCACTGGAACTCAACAAGATAAAATGTTGAAGTTATCTTGTTTGAAAGAAAAGGATTCCTTATGAGAAAAAGGAGATTGGAAGTTTTGAAATTTGAAGCTTATTTTAGCTACTTTCGACAAATTGTTAAAAAGTGACAAACATATGCCTTGTTTAAGAGATCGACTTTTACATAGGTTCATGTGCCCCGCTTTGCTCTTTCGAATGGTGAAAACCGCAGGTCGCTTTGACTTTTTGTTCGAAAGTTATAAGCTTTTTTTCCACCAGTCTTCTTTTAAAATTCCGATAGTAGTAAATTGATGTGTGATATACGAAAAATTTGCCTTGAAAAGTCATACCGTTAAGGATACTGTAGACAAGGATCCAGATTCGAGCTTCGTTCATGTCTACTCAGCTCTCATCGTAACTTTCGTTCATCGAATTGCATTCAATTTATCGAAGACCCAATACATTTTTTATTGTTTTGATGAAAAATTTCAATAATTTCACCGTATTTGACACTTTGGAGTCTTGTATAAATTGAAAGCATCTTGCTGAAGGAAGATCATAAAGACCGCGCAAAGTTTCATTCTGCTCTTTCAAATAAAACTGTTCCTAGCAAGTTTCAAATGGACGCTGGAGTACTTCTTTTGAGGATCTTTATTTTGTAGATATTCTAATCCTAACAGTTGTATTGGAGTTTTCAGATCAAGCATTCTGTACAGAGAATTCATTTAGCTACTGAAACATTTTTTCAGATTCTCCTTGGTTATTGCCATTGAGAAGAAAAAGCAAAATTACAGCTGCTCTAAAGTTATATTCGCCACTATACTTATAGACGATATTATTTAATTCGAGTTTGCTGCTAATACTTTGTTCTATGAAAAAAGTCTAGCAAAACTAGAGAGAAAATCTATAAACCTATATCCTTTTACGGTTATTCTATTCTAAAAGCTTGTTTCTATATGCTCAAAATATGAGCTCGATGACATCACCCTTAGATTCGACCGTTTCTAGTTTGTGAAAATGGTACAACTAATCAAGCTGAAATTTCTACCACAGATAGAATACGAAAAATAAGCACACACGTGTTTAAGAGAAAAAAAATTGAAATGAACTTTTACTGTAAGAACCATTGATACTTGGAAGTATTCTTCAGAGGTAAGATCGGCCGTTTTCTTCTTTGACTCTGAGCCTTTATGTATTTCTCTCATTAGAAAAAAAAGAAATTGAGACTTTTGAAAAAGCTTAGAATTATTACCTCAGTGATATAGTCGTAGATATCTCGAAAAACATTTTCAGGCTAATCGCGTAGTTTGATAATAATCATGATGTATAAAGATGCGGCCTGATGGGAAATGAGGGTTTCACAGCAAAGATCCTCTTCAAAAAGTTTCTCCTCAAACATGAATCTCTTAAATTTTGGTGCTCTATCGTGTGGCCAAAATTTGAGTCCTATCTGTTGTGCCATCTACAAGAACAAAGGAGTTTTCTCGTTGATCATTTTTATTATTACTGAGTTGTTACAAGAGAACTCACAAAATTTCATGTATCACTTAACAATCATTATTTAAAAACCAATTTACTCAAAAAACAGAATATCACTTTCTGACAATTTTTGTTGCGAACTGCTTTCTCTGCCTTTCCAAAAGAAATCACTTCAATTTTCTATTTAAAATATACCTGAGTATCACAACCGATTGTTTTTAATGGACATGAAACAAGTGCTTTTGGACAAGCTCGATCATGTTGTTCATATAAATCTGGATTTGTAAAAGTAATTGAACAATGTTCACATTGAATACGTTGAAATGTACAAACTTGTAAATGTTCCTTAAAAGAGAACACAAAAAAAAAGCGATTTTTTTTATTTATGTTTTCTCAGTTTATTATAGAAAACTTACTTTGTAGGCCGTATAATTACCTTGCCAAGAACAACCATTTAATTTATTATAACAAATAATATCTGTTAAACGTTTTAAATCATTTACGACACCAAAATCTGTATAAATCTAAACAATCAAAACAATTTCATTTATTATTTTATTAAATTTGTATTATTTACTCCATCATTCGTAATAATATGAGAACACTTATCTACAATACAAATTGTTGATTCATTATTTCTAAACATAAATGCAAAACCAACAAAATCATTTATAGAGACAAATTCAATCTAAAAGTCTATATACTTAATGATTCTTTTAAGACATAATGAACAATATCGATGACCACATGTTACAACTTTTGGATCAACAAGTAAATGATGACAAGATGAACATAGAAAATTTTCTTGCATTTCAAATGATATTGAATGAAATGGCAAGCCATCTAAATTCGACATTTTTAATACAATCTAATAAATTCATTCAATTGTTTCTTCTTGTCTAACAATAGTCATCAAATTTAACCATTCAGTTTTATTCAATCTATCCTCCTTCATGGATAATCATCATATAATGACGCTTGCATATGCATCATCCACATTAAAGAGAAACAAAATGAATACGCTTTCTTTTTTTATTCACGTTTGGGCATTGTTTGTTTGCTTTTTTCTTATAATTCCTGACTTTACAATAACAATATATATATTTTCGATTATTCTCTAAGGCAATAATGAATAATTTCAATTATTTCATAAATTAAAAGTCCATGTATTTCTTTGTTTGTTTATACAAACTGAATAAATATCATGAATTTGACATGGTAACTTATTTTACTAAAAGGTCATGAATATGTGTTGTATTATAATCAAAATCGAAACATGTATACTCAGTTGAAAATGTTTTAAAAATACTTATAGAAATAAAACATCAAAAATGAACTTAAGGATAACACTACAAAGAAAAAGAAACTTCTATTTCCATTTTGTTCGATATATCGATTGAATTTTTCAGCTAAGAAGAAAAACATAGATCCATGTGAAAGTTATGTTGTCCTTGGTATCTGAGTAGAACCCAAGGCCATTTTGTGTTTTTGAAGTGTCGAAAAAGAAAGAAAAGGGAAATTTTTTCGATGAATGTTTTATGTAAATATATAAAAGTATAATTATATGTCAAGGTTATAAGATAATTTTCAATGGAAGTTTAAGGACATAGTGAAGAGGTTTCTTTTTTCTTGTCTCTTATGTAATTTTGTGATGAATTACTTTTCTTAATATCAAAGAAAGGTTTTTCTTTATTTTAATTAAATTCATATGGAACATTTTTATACGATCTATTCATAGATTGTAAACTATCTGTTGATATGGTAAGATAATAATGTTATACTATTTCTTCATTGTTTAGAAAGATTCTTTTTTTTGTTATTTCAATATATTTCTTTCATAGTTATTTTTACTTAAATATATTTGATGAATATAGGATTTGAAATGTTTGGCCTTGGTTAAAACCTTTTTTTTTCTTTGTTATCTTATTCGGTATTATTAACATGCAGATATATAAATATCATTTTGTCAATTCTTTCTTTTCCTCTACGCTTATTTTGCCCCATAGTTGGCCGTAAGCCAATAGTAAACACAAGTCCGTTGATTTTTTGACCGTGCACTTATACGATAAATTTCGATTGAATGACTGAAGTAGAATGATACAACGCAGTTAAGATGAATGCTCATTGATTGTTTCATCAAAAGGCATGAGCAAAATAATATTGTATTGTCCGTTTACATCGTACAATAGACATACGGGCTAATATAGTTACTATATTGAATGCTACGTAAAAGTACAAACGATGCTTCACTTGGCTTTGATATTCATTTTTCTGTGTGCATTTCTTTTTTTTTCTCTTCTATAAACTTACGCGTAATAACGATGAAACAAAACTTGCGAAGAAAAACGATAGCGACAAGAAGAACAAAAGCGAATAAATAAAAAAAAAAAGAAAAAACGGGCAATGTGAGGTTCTTTGCGTGCAAAACTATTGAAAGCAAAGAAAATATGAACTGATTAGCAATCATTTCTGATGTTATGAAAAAATTAAGAATAAATTTCAAAGTCACATATACATGACAAATAAAGAAAATCTGTTGATTCAAAAAATATAGAAACTAACAAACAGATAGAAAATATTTGGAATTGATTATGTAGGTTCATCAAGTAGCAAAAAAGTCTCTTCTATTACGAAATGGTTGCTAAGCACTGATATGGATCGATAGAAACAGCAATATTATAATAAAAAAAAGTGCGAACGATCAAAAGAATCATAAAGAAAAAAGAAGTAGTAGAAGAAGAAAAACGAACAGAACGAGAGAAGTCGTTCGCGTTCTATGCATGCGTTCGTGGGGCTGACAAAAAAGGGCAGTGCGTGTGTTTCGTCGAATAATTAACATATTGTCAACAAGTTCACATCAACTAGTTGTTCGCACAAATAAAATATAGAACTTATTTCACATTCAATTTATTATATTATATATGGCAACAGATATAAGCAGTATGCCTTTAAAAGAATATTCACTTGCTGAAACAAAACGTCATAAACCATGTTTAATATATCGTGGTCATCGTTATGTACAAGACAAAGTACAAAATCGTACTATTTATTGGCGATGTGAAGATCGTGCACATTGTAATGGTCGTGCACATCAATTAATTGGCAATGGATCATTACCTATTCTTACCATAAAGCATAATCATCCACCTATTGTTGAGGATTTATCAAGGCATGACATTGTATCGGTTGATAGTCATCGTCGTCGAAAACGACAAAATCGAAAAATATCCTCTCATCATCTACAAAACAGAGGTAAGCATGAGACGTATATTGTAATCAAATAGTTTTATGATGATATCAGATACGTTAGGGGGACAGATAAACGCCAAAGATAATGTTGTCAATGGATATAGAGGGAACAATAAAAAAAAAAGAGGGAGGGATATAAAAGCCAATATATGCCTCCATTTTACTCGCAAAAGTCGACGGACCGTCAACAAAAGAAGGACAGAAGCAAATGTTCCACTTTTCGTAATTGCTATGTGTAGGTTTATATGTTCTTTCGAACTTTCGTTTGCTAAAAATGAAATCGTGTATTAAAAATTAAAGCTCTTCTATGGAACAATCTTTGATGAAAGGAAAAAAAAACGCAGCTTTAATTATTGTATAAATCAACTAGAACATATGTACAAATGTATAAAGTCTTCTTGTTTTGATTTTCAAAAAAAAGAAATTATTATGCAATACTTGAAAAGATAGGCAACATCACTCACATATTTGATTACTATTAAAATGAGTCTGTTGCCAAAACATTATGTGTGTATAACACACTCTTATTTGTTTCCAGTAGAAACGAATGCATACATGTACATGCCATAGTAAAACAGTCATCAACAAAAAAATATGCTTGTGGTTTCCATGGTTTTTTTGTCGTCTTTCTACATATATATATATATATATAAATTGATAGAACGTTTTTCTCGTCAGATATATCAATGAATTGATTACTATTTTATTTTTCTCCGTAACTATCTATTATTCCATCAGGCTTTTTTTTTAAATGCCTATACAATACTCAATAATTATGATGTCTTATGTTTTATATGTTTTATCTTTATCACATTTATTGAAAATTATTGATTCCATTTATTTTTAATTGATAAGAAAAAAAAACGTTGGTACTGTTGACTTTCCTCCGACATGGAAAGATTTTTACATAAAGTCAATCGGCTTGCACGAGGTTGGTACGAACAAGACCGACGTCGGCTATGTCTCTTCTTTTCTTCCCATTTGTGCGAGGTTTCTTTCGTTCGCAATTATATATGTAATATGTTGCAGGCAAAGACATGCATGCTTGTTCGATGTAGAGAAAGAGAGGCAGACACAGCGAACGATTGAAAAGGGTAACCATCAGCAATGCTATCATTATCGAGAGAATGAAAGAATGCGCAGAAGGGCTAAACCCTTTTCTCAACCCATTTGCCATCATGTGTTGGTAATGTGTAATGAGACGATGAAGAAAAAAATAGAAAACTTTGTATGTTTTACACGCATGCTGGGAAGTTTAGATATGAGAATAGTAGTCAGGCTTTGGAAAATAAAACATCCTATTAATAATTAGTAACCTAAGATATTCTTGTTGCACATTTATCTCGATAAATTAGTAAGCAAATGAAAATATCATAGCAAAAAAAAAATTGACTGAGAGCTAGTGCACTTTTATGAGCGTTTTTCTAACATAGTCAATGTACGTTTAAATTTTATAAATATCTATCATGATCCAGATGTTCTTCGACCCTCACCGACATCATCAACAATGACATCACCAATAAAACTGGAAAATCATCAAAATAAACAACAACGTATTCAACAGCAACATGCAGCTATAGTTAAAAATCTTCATCTATCTGAAGTAATTACAACAGCCATACCTCCAAATATTTCTCATCATAATGGTATCACTGCATATCGTCATACAATAGCTGATACAAATGAAATGACTAAGTTACTTACTAATATAACAACAGCAACTACAACATCAACAAATTCTTCATTAAAAACAACTTCGACATCTCGAGCAGTAGATTATCCAAGTCGTTTAAATCATTTTTCATGGGAAGAAATCGAAGCACGCTATTTACCAGTTATATACAGGTATTAAAATATGAAAAAAAAAACAGATTGTCTTTTTAAAATTAGTCATGCATTTTATGCACTAAGTCTCATGTAAAAGAAGAAAAATCTAATTATTTCAAATGGAAAAACATGTTTTCTATTTCAATTGAAAAAAAAACAGATAGATAGCTAATCGCGTACGTTAAATGAAACCATCAAAATTAATATTGAAGAGTTTTGGCTTCTATTTTGACGTATCATATATAAATAATTTGTTTTTGAAACAATAATTTTATATTATTGGAAGAAAAATCACTGAAAAGAAACAGCAATATGAATATTGTCAAGATATTCAATTGATGGATAAAGAAATCTAATTTCTTTTTTTAATATTTCAGACATGAAAATGGTCTAAATCAACGTTATATATCGAAGATGTACGTTGAGCATACTTTATTTGAAAGTGAATCATGGCAACGACATACACTGTTAGCTCGTTCACTACCACCGTTAATATCCTATCCCTATACAGAACATGAACTTAAATTATATCGTTCAATTATTGAATGGCATTTAGCAAGTTTCCATTTTAAAACCATTCCATCTTCAGATTGTCTCATTTGTTTTGAAGATCTTTTGGATTTTTATAATAATTTACGTAAATTACGAGATACTTTAACAACAACAACATTTAATCGACCAATAGTACCATTACAACGACCAACTCCACTTCCACTTAAACCAAATATACAATCTGAATCATTCGAATTACCTACACAAATACTATCATCTATGAAACAGCAATCGAAAGTTCATTTATTACCACAAAATCCAGATGTTCCATCACAAATAAATCATCGACATCAAGAACAATTAATATCATGTCAAAAATATCCAAAAGAATCTGGTTGGGTACAAATAAATAATGTTTTTGTTCCTTATATTGTTAAGGTAAAACTACGTGAAAATGAATTAAATAAATGTCATACACGTCAACCAGCACCACAATTACAACGTGAGTTTTATGTTCCATATGAAATTCTTGTTAAATGTAATATTTTTTCTGATAATGAATTTTCATTGAAAAAACTTCTTATCAAAGCTACACCGCAAGATTTTGATATTTTAAATAATCTTATTACAAATATAAATATATTCGATGAAAAAGTGCCTGAAAAAACTTTATTAGTTAATTTATATCATATTATGGTAGGTCTTAATCGTATTTTTTATATTAAATTTTTACCGACTAAACATCCACGATCACAAGTTAATAAATATCATGCTGATATATTAACAAATAAAGGTGGTACATTAATTACTAATGGAAATAAATTAATACCGTATATTGTGCAAAACAATCGTTTTTATGTACCACTTTTATATACATTTCATTCATTACCAAATATACTTATCCAAGCTAAACGTGGTGCACGTGCTCCAAGACAATATGAAATTGATTATTTGAATTTATTATTTATTTATTTTTCAATTGATACACAACCATTAACATCGGATACTTTACTTGTTGATATATTTAATATAAAATGTGCGAATTTACAATCACCTATTCATTTTCGTACATTACATGAACATCAACAGTATGAACACAATAAATTATTAAATTCCGTTACGCATAGTCAACAACCATCGAAACCAACAAGTATGTAAAAACCTTTTTTTGTTTTAAATGAAAAAAAAATATATTTGTTTTTTCTATTTAAGCTGCACCATTAACAACAAATAAAACAAATAAGTATCCATTAGCCAATGTTGTTGTTAATCCAATGATTCACCATCCATCTTTTTATGGTTTAACAGCTCCTAAAACAGTGTTATCAGTACAAAAGCCTGTAAAACAACCTGACATAAAAACAATTATATATGATAATCGTGTATTAAATGCAATTATTAAATCATCTGATACATCAATTAATGATTGGAAAATATCTTTGCAAGAAATTTTTCAAAAATTTTCTTTTAATATTGATTATCAGAAATTTATTCAATGGTGTCAAACAAATTTACTTTTACCGTTAGTTAAATTAGATGAAGATGAAAATCAAATTATTAAAAATAATCATAATGATGACGATAATTATTATGTTTATCAACGTAATCTTAATAGATGTATTGAGCTATTAAATGATATTAAACATGGTTCCATTAGCATGACTTTATTACCACTATCACCAAACAATGAATTACAACAACAACAGCAACAGCAAGAATCAATGGTTAAATCACCATTAGCAGGTATTTGTTACAAATCTAATAGGAAAATTTTTTTAACCCATTTCAAGGTTTGTTTTTGCATATTTTCTTGAGTTCGATTCTCTTGTTACACCTTTATCATTCATGAAAGGATCTATCACAATTATATCTGTAGAAAAACTAATGAATTCTATTTCGACATATTCATATATCGATTTCAGGTGCTAAAAAACGTAAAACTATGATGTCAACAACTCGTCATATATCACCAACATCAACACCTAATGAAACAATACCATTATCAAATACTATTCCGGAAGAAATCTATTATCTGTCACCAGAATTACCACTTCCTGACGAAATGACTCAATCAGTTAATACTGAGAGTTCAGTAAAATCTCCAAATGATCAAATAACTTGTCTCATAACCAATGATGATGATAATAATAACAATCATAATGATGATGATGATATGATGCCAGTTGTAGCTTCTGTTGAAGAAGAACAACCAATTGAAGAACCAATTCGTTCAGAACTCGATACATCATTTATTATAGTTGACTCAAATGATGGTAATGATGAAAAAATTCAACTTGATGATGAAACTCTATCATGTTCATCGGATTATGAATCATCTGCAATAATAACTAATATTGATATTAATATACATGAAGATGACGAGCAAACAAATTCAACAATATATTCACGAGAACATTCATCATCATGTCCATCAACAATATCACGAAATTCTTCAATGATATCATCAAAAAATCAAAGTAAAACGAATAAAAAACGTCAACGTAATACATATGGAAGCTCACGAGCACAATCACGTTCAATAACACCACGAAATCGTAAAAAATCATGTCCAATTAATGATCAATCATCACTAGTAACCATCATAACGAAAGATAAAATTGAACAACATTTAAGAACATTATTCATGTCATCAAATGAACAAAAACGTACACGTACAAGACCAATAAAAACACCAACACGTCTTGTTGAAGAAATCAATACAAATAATATTAATAATAATAATAATAATAATACAATCAATATGATGGAGCCAGATACAAATGTGTTTGATATTCTTTCTTCATCGATTATAAATGAGACAACGAATAATAATGAGCCAATACAAAATAATAATCAATCATGCACATATAATGTTGTTATAACAGACAAACCTAATAAATTAGGTTTAACTATAAAAAAAGTTGTTCAATCATAAGTGATACAATCAGAGTTTTTGTTATTGTCAAGGATTCTTTATTAATGTTATAAAAAGAAAAAAAGAAACAAATTTGTTCCCGTCCTATGAACAATGTCTTTGTGTACATATATATATCTTCATTGTTATTCTTTTTTAATATATAGACAAAAAACAGATCATATTGATTATTATTTGTCTATGTATGTTTTTCCTTTTTTTTCTTCTTCCTATGATAGTGCAGCAAAATAAGAAAGGTATATGTTTGAAATAAAATGACAGAAAGATTTTGATTCATATGATTAAAATACATTGATTTTCTTTCTATATTGTTACTATTCATAATATTATGATTGTATAATCATATCAATAAGTAAATATGTATTAACAGCAAATATATGAACAAGTTCATTGTTTGCGAATGTAAAGAAAAAAAAATTCAATGTCATTGTATATGCATCTAATAGACTTAGACATATTGCTTTCTTTGTTCTGTCATAATTAGACAAAGTCAAATAGTTGACATTGCCAATGAAATGCCATTAAAAACTCGAAGAAGTGTTTGTCAATTCGACCCATTGGTTAAGTTTTTTTGTTTCAATTTGACATAAAAGTCGTAAGTTTATTTTTCAAATAGAAAGATAATCTATTACTTTCGATGACAGTAAACATACCGTTCACATTTTATAACAAAACATAATTGAAGAAAGTAGAAAAACAATTGATGTATAACATATTTTTCAACTAACAACTATCAGTTCCTATGGCTATTTTAATCGATAGAAAATAAGAAATTAGAATCAGCAAATTCTAGTAATTTTTATCCCTGCAAAAGGTTTAAAACAAAGATATCTTTTTCATCTAGCCATGAATTAGTCAATTTAACATGAATATTATCAGCAGATTGTGTCAAAAATTTGTAAGACTTCAATCAACCGTAGAATAGTCCAATAAGTTTTCTTTTCATTCAAAAATATATCTTCAATAAATTTTACTCGTACGATTTGAGACTAAACAATAAAACATCATAATAAACTTAAACGGCCGATTATATATTTTCAAAACAAGAGTAAATCATATTTTCTCACAATAAATAAGTTTACGAGAGTTAAAAAAACAAATTTTATTTTATCTAATCAAATTAATTCATCAATTAAGTTTAGTTTTTTTTCGAATAGTTGCAAACCATTTAAAAGCTGTTCAAATACTAATGAACTTTTTTTTCCTTCTACTACTTGATTAGTTTATTCACTAGCAATCACATCATTTGCCAAGTAAAACTGTTGTCTTGAAACCATAAAATCAGAACACAATTTGAGAAACTTGTCTTTCATATTCGATAAATTTGAATATATTTTGCTAGATCAATAAATACTGAGTCCATATACGTCGGTATACAGTAAAGATCTGAAGTGACCAGCATGAGGAGAGCTGCAATTTTTTTTTCGCAAAGGGAGATTATCTTTCTTCTAACAGAATGCAAAAAGCAAATCTCAGCTCTCCTGAGAAAAAACAAGTTTTTCATGATGGCGGAGTATTACGATCTCGCCCGCCCCCCCCCCCCCCCCCCCCCCCCCCCCCCCGCCCCCCCCCACACGTCTCGGTGCGTCCTGCTTTCGCGTCNATAAGCCGTTCCAAATTGGAATCGGAACTGATGATTCTGATTCTGATCCCAAAAACATTTCATATTGCCGATTCCGATGCCCAATAAAGTCAACTTTGCCGACCCCTAGCGTGTACACGTATATGTACGTTTTTTTAAGCTTGATGATAGAAATACAAGATAACATCGACATTTTTTCCGTTCATTTATTTTATCATTTTTTTCTGATAATTTGTACGATAACAATGTTCATCCGGTCTTATGAATATCAGTCTTCACTTCACAGTTTAGCCAACTCATGAGTGATTTTTTTAAACAATTTATGTTGTCAAAATTCACGTTTCTAAAATTTGTCTTAACCCGCGGGTAACCCGTGACGGGCTGATAAGTGTTCAACCCGTGGAGTAACCCGCGGGTCCAAAGAAAAATTATTTAACCCGTGAGACGGGTCGGGTCAAAAGAAACCTGTCATGAACATCTCTGTTTTGTACACTCTTATGGCCAATTTATAATTCGAATAAATTAAAGTCTTCCGTGCAAAATCTAAAACAATCATATCTAGGGCACAGTGATACTTTTCATTTGGACCTTTGAAATGCATGGCAAAAATGTATGGACACTATCTGATGGAATTTTCTTCTATATTTTGTTTGTTTTTCTTACACAATCATCTGAAAATGTCATAAAAATTGTATAGATTTTCATATTATAATAGAATTTACTATATTAATTCATCTTAATTTTCTTCTGAATAAAATTCATTATTATAACTACTTGAATTTTATGATTTAGGTTATCTATAGTCAAATGTAGTTTTTCACGAATTTGGATTCCAAATTAGTTTATACATGCCTTCCATATCATTGAATATTATTAATTTACCCTTAAATATTTTTTAAAACATTTTATTAAACGTAAAACTACTACAATGAATAATATTGTTTTTTTTACAAGTCTCTTTTATTTTGAAATTAAAGTTGTCATAGTTGCAATAGTTTCTTCTGGATTAGTAAGAGGTCCATTATCGAAAAATTCATCATTTACCGATGACGATAATGGTACTGGTGGTCCTATTGTTGTTTGTTCTTGATTATTATTCATTGAATTCATAATTGCATGAAGAATTTGTTTACTAATTTGTTTATTATTATTATTATTTTGTCCACTATTACTATTCGTTGTTCCTGTAACATTAATAGTATGAAATGGACGTTTCTTCTTTGTTATATGACTATTACATATAGGTGCTTGTGTTTGTTCGGAATGAGGTGCTTCATAAACAAATTGTTCATCTTGATTTAATTTATTTTTACGAGTTATTAATGTTATTGGTGGTGGTTTTTTCTTAAGAGTATTTGTAATGATTATTTGAGTATTTTCTCTAGATTGTTGATAATGTCGATCATATACATATTCATTAGATGAACATTGACTTGCATGACGTCGAATAGCAAATGATGATTGTTGTTGAAAACGACGTGATTCATTATTTGGAAGGTTGAGAACTGATTGATGACGAATTATATTTGGTGTAGGTTTAATAGGTGTTTCTTCAATAAAAACATCTCCTTCACTTTTATCATCGTCATCGTCATCATCATCATCATCATCATCATTATCATCATCGTCATCATTGAGTTCCGATCGATGAACATAATCATCAGTAGTCGGATGAGAAAATCTGGAGATAAAATCAAAAATATTTAAAACAGGAAAGAAAACAGCTGTAAGCGAAATCTCTGCAGGATTAAAATGTAAAACACAATGCAGTTGCTGTTGCTAATCGCAGGAGGATTGTTTTATTCTATCTATTTTGGGACACATATTTCTTTATTCTCTCTTTACTTAATTCTTTAGAAATGCAATAAAGGAAGTAGTTCATTGATTATAATGAGATATTATTCATATACGATCTTTCATCTTATATCAACAAAGTCTGTTATTGTCTATGACGTTTCCATGATTATGACGACTGCTATGGTTGAGTGACTACTCTGTTCGGTAGGAGTTCACAAGATATTTTGTTCAAACTTCGGTATTATCAGTTATGAAATGACCTTGGACAAATTACTAATGACGACTGTTTGTTTTGGATCACCCACCGGTCCAACCATTGAGGATTGTGGCGGTTTATCGAAAAGGGAGAATATGTTTCTTTTCTCAGAATGTAGAAAGAAAATTTCAGCTCTGCAGGAAAAAAACAAAAATTCTCTACGATTAGGAGAACGTTACACCCTCGACAATCCCCGCTTGGACTATCACTGCGTTTGAAATGTGTCTGTGCTAAAATGTGTGTCATGGTCAGTAAGGAAGAGATGCCAATTTCTGTCCTAGATACTTCAATACTCCTTTTAAATCGTGTTTTACAAAAGCAAATTATTAATGTACAAACCTATTATCGTCATCGACTTTAGTTAAAATTTCTCCATCTATAGTAGATAATTTTTGTTGATGACGTTTTTTACTCGATCGTCGTTGAATTGTCATTGGTATAATTGTATCACATTCTTTGATTTGATTCATATTATCTTTTTTTAATGAAATAAACGTATTTGTATTATTGATTGTGTCTTTTTTTGTATCTGATTCATTTTTTTCTTCATTTTTAAGTGATGTTTGTAATGGTAGTGATTCAATTTTTGTTTGTTCATTAACATTTGTTTTTGGTACACCATAAACACGATTATTATCTGATGATAATTTTTCTTTATTATTTGTTGTTGATGATTTTTTTGAATTGATTTTTTCTTGTTCAACATTTTTCTTCTTATTTGTATTAGTTTTATTTAGTTTAGTGGCTGATAATTGTTGTTTATCACCTTGATTGGAAGTTTCTGCAGGTGTTTCTTTTCGTCCTTTAAGCCAACGACGACGTGTAGACAATTTACCTGATGATATTGTTGTTCCTTTTGGTTTTTGTTGATTTTTATGAGCAATATTTTCATTTTTACTTGGTGCACGTTTATCATAGATCACTTCTTGACGTTGTCTAGAACGAGATGCACTTGTTCGATGATGATAATGATGATTACGATGATGACTTTGAGGAGCTGGTAATGGCATAGAACTAATTGCTGTTATTGAATAATCTTCATCGTTAGCACCTTTTTGTGATGGCGTTCGACGTTTAAGAATAATATCACCATGAGCTGGTTCAAGAACATGTGTTCCTTTTCGAGATTTATGACCAGGAATAGAAACATGATTATCATCAGGTTGTTGTTGTTGAATTGGATGAGTATAACGACCTCGACTGGTACGAATAGTTTGTTGTTTTTGATGTTGTATAGGTATTGGAGATATTGCATTTTGCATAGGATGAACAATAGCGGGACTTGATCTATGATGAGTAGTTGATTGGAAAGATGATGTAGCACATTGTATTCGATGATTTATACTACTTGATTTGCTTATGGATACAGCTTGTGCCGCAGCTGCTTGCATTTCAAATGCTTTTATTTTTTCGAGAACATTTCCATCTTTGACAGCTTTTTGTAATGTTGAATGTATTCGATCCGGAGCTATGAAAGATCTTCGAATTGATCGACTAAATATAAACATATATGATTATATGCAAAAAAAACACCGAGAATTCTATTCATTAAGTTTTACCGAGGATGTATTCCACCAACTACTATCATTGGTTCATTTGTTTGAAGAAAACTACTCGTATTTCCAACTGATGATTTAGGAATCAATGGACTAATAGTTTTATCGACGACCATTGGTTGTACAACCGAAATGGAATTAACACTTGTTGTTGTTCGATCATCACTATTCGATCGAACTTTTTTTTCTTCATAGACTACTGCTTCTTCTACTTCATTGTTATTACTTTTAGTAATTTCTCCTCGTGATTCATCGAGAAATTCAGGTTTAATATTAGCACGAGGAATACAAAAAAGTAATCGAACACCATTATATCTACCACTTGATGGATCTCGACTATGTTGTTGATAAAATGGATTCGATTGAAGGAATTGTCGCATATGTTTAAGTTCAGATCGTTGATCACCTATTACATTTCCCATTTGTTCATTCAATTGCATTCTCCAAACAGCCCAATCTTGAACATTGAGTGGAGTTTTATTTATCGTAGCATCACCAGACGATGTAGGTTCAGCCACATTTGCACTATTTCGTGTTGATGATCGATGACGTGTTGGTGATGCATGCGGTTTTCGTTTCTCTCCAAAGATCAGACGGCCTTATATAATAAATAAAACATAAAAGGATTCGTCTTAGTTCTGTTGTTGTTGTTCTTTTTATTCTTTTACTTACCTAATGTTTTAGATTTACCACTGCCGCCCTTAGTCATTGGCAGTATCTTAGGATTTTTTACTCAACTGATTTCGATCATTGTAATATAAAATCTGTCTTACGAATCTATGCAATGATTACAATCGTTTCCTTTTCTTTTTTGTTCTTTTTCTCTCTTTCTTCTCCTTCTCTCTTAATTGATTCGTGTCAAAAGTCACTTGAGTCGATCGACAACGGACTGTGAAGGCGGAAACTAATCATTTGTATACAAGCATAGATTTGTTGATCAAACTATTTCGACATAAAATCTTCCGATCAGTCAAAGATAAGAAGAATGAATGATACGCATACAGAAGGATCAAAGTAAACATGTGTACATAGAACCCTTGACGTTCTTTTCTTCCTACTCATCTACCTTCGATGATTGTTATATCGATATGCCGTTATAATCGAGACAATCAACTACTACTACGTTGTTAAATAACATGTTAGTAAAAATAGTAAGATAAAGAAACAAAAAAAAGGAAAATAAACGTGACACTATAGTCCTTTTTATCTACTGATACAATAAGAATCATTCAATCATATTCATTCATTTTATCATCAAAACTTTTCGTTTTCGTAGATGATTGACTTAATAGTTCCATATTTTCATTTTTATCTTGATCAATAGATTTATATGATACTGATTCAATTATTTTTTGTTGTTTTATATTAAACATAGCAAATCGATTGATATTTGAAAGCCAGTCATATTTAATATTAGTGTGAAGCCAATGATAAGGCCATGTTTTATGTATAGACGGACGTTTTGAAAGTGTTTCATAATAGATACCTATATAATATGATCATCATTAAATATATCTATCGATAAAAATAGTTTTACTAACTAAGACAAGAAAAATAATCAAGTGATAAACCAAATTGTACAGCTAAAGCTAGTTCAGGAAAAAATAATACATCAGCTAGAGTGAATGATGTATAAGCAATGCCATTCACTGAATCTACCTTGAAAAAATTTTCAAATAATATATTTGAAATAATTAATCTTTACCTACTTGTTTAATATAATCATTCCAACGAATTAATTCAGAAAATAGTTTTTTTTCACGTTTTTCTCGTAGATCTATATCCATGTATGATGTATGAAAGTCATCAAACGATAAGAAATAACTAATTAGATCTTCAGAACATATACGTTGAAACTCTAGAGTCTATATAATGAAATAAGATCAATGATTGAAATATATATATATATATATATTTTTAATAGAAACTCCTACTTCAAATGCACGCTCGAGTACCTGACCTTTTAATTCTAATGAAGATTCAGGTAATAATGATGGTATTGAAGTTTCAAGAAATAAAAGTACTGGTAAAACACCATTCAATGTAATATCTTGTATTCTTAGTGAAGGGACCTGAATAGATATCTATATTAATCAATAAACAAAAGATTTCGATTCCTAACAATGCCATATTTATTATTCTTCCAGAAATTATCATTTTTATCAATTTGATCTGGTTGAATAATCATAATACTTTTATAACCTTGTAATTGTTTTTCTTCAAGTGCAATACGAATTTTCCATGAAGCTATTTGACCTGACATCCAATATAATGTAATATTATTTGGAATAATCTATCTTAAGATAATTATAGTTAAAGATTAAGAACAATAATAGCATACTTCAATAAATCCTACGGATTTTTCGTGTTCTGTCATTTTAAATTATGATAGTAAAATTTGAGTTTTTTTTCTTTCTCTTTTGGCGCAGTTTCTTCATATCTTTTAAGTAATTATGCAAATTTCTTTGAAAACGAATGCGTAAAGAAAAATACTCAATGGCACATTAAATGATACTTTTATCATAATGAATTCTATGGAATATTCAGTCAGCTTGTTGATATGTTATATTAAATTTATTAAATGCTCAAAGTGATAAAAATAAGAAACAAATTATAATATTCGAACTCTTCTTTGAAGTCTATACAAGAAAGAAATAAAAATTAGTGATCACAGTTTAATTACTTGTATTCTAGAAAGAATTCTCTTATCAAAAGTGCTTATGAAGTTTTGACAACAGAGCGGTATATATGTAGGCTTCTAGAGAAAGATTTCTTCTATGTAATGGCACGACTACGGAAATGATGTTACCTATAGACAAATCACCAGTACTTATTAGAATTTGATAATGCATATACTATTAAACAGAGGAAGTCTTTCTCTAAAAGCCTCAATATATCCTGTTATGTAGTCTAAGCATTATAGTTGTCTTTATAGTACAGGCATGGCTAGTTGCTAGAACAAAAGAATTTTTGCTACTGAATAAGTCGTTAGCATGGCTTAATCAAGTTCGATATTTGTACCACTATTTTTGTACCGTATGTTAGATTTGACATCAAACAAAATTATTGGAAAACACTTTTCTGGGTTATTATAATTCAATTTGTTTTTTTTTTTGACAAGAAACCAAAATAATATATTATCTGACTATGATCAAAATCTGTTGCTTTATCATTGTGAAAAGAAATCATATCATTAACTATTTTAACGTGCCCAATACAAATATAAATTCACATGAACTAATACCATACAAATAGTTGTAATAACAAAAACCTAAAGAATTTCATGATCGTTCAATTCATTCATAATATAACGATTCTTTCTAAGTACTCATTAGTTAAAAGGCTAGGTTAATAAGAGGTACTGACGCTAAGTTTAATATGTATGATTAAAATTGTCTTTTATTCCAGCAAATGTAATATAAAGATGGGCAAGTACTAGAGGTGATGAATACTAAAAATATGGTAATATCAATCAAAGTTATAAGTGCATGCTTGTGTAACCAAGCATAAATTCAATTCACATGTGGAAGTTAATCAAATTTAAATATTGTAGAAATAGACGTAATTTGATGCCCAACTACGAGGTATTGGTTACAAAAATTGAACGTCGACAATGGCTCTCATCTTCTCCTCTACATATGTTTAGTGCAAATGAGAATTAGGGCCCACATTTTGTTACACTTAAAGTGTAGTAAAAGTAATCACATTGGTGCTGTAATATTTACAAGAAACCTCGAGAAAAATTTTCTCTCACTATCTATTCATAGTCGCCATATTGAAAAATTGGTAGAACTATGCGCAACGATGTTATGCATATCAGTAGACATCGAGAGAAAGTTTTTCCAAGCTTTTTATAAGTTAGTTATTATTGTGTTCGTGTCATTACTTTTGCCATACATACTCGAATTATTTGTACAGAAACGCTTGGAACATTTGATATTTTACAAAAAATAAAATTCTCAATACTCAATTTCATCTGAACAGCTGGTTTTTTTTGTCATCAACAAAGTGTTTCAAACTGTTTCAGAAAGCTTTTCTTCCAAAGGCTTTCTTCTTTATTGTTTCTTTAAATGGTAAACTACTTAAATTAGCTTCTATTGCCTATCGTTTCTCATTTTTTTTTGTAGAAAGAGAAAAACGGCATCGGCAGCCTCCACACGAGACCTCGAATCCCATATAGTAAAGGCGCACTCTCATTGTTAATAATCATCATAATGGAGTGGTTGCATCACTTTTTTTTTACTGATGATTAAAGTGTTTTAACTGCAAGCTGTTTCTCGACTCGGATGTTTCTAACATTCATTCTCACAAAAGCTTTCATCTACAATGCACCACTTCTAATTACTCAAAAATTAGAGCTATCGACTTTTTATCTGCCGAATTCTGTTCAAACAATTATGTTTTATTGGTGTTCGTTCAATATTGAGCAATGTGCATTGCTCATGTTAACGTTAGTAAACATGGCTGCTGGTGAGAGCTCGCTTTTTTTTAGGCATCGTAATGGTTGGTTCAAAACACCCCATTTTTTATCACTTAGACATTAAAGAAATGCTCTTTAAAAGAAACGTGTTCGATGAACCTTTTTGAAAATTCAGTATAGTTGTGTATTCTGTTGAGTTTTACTCTGTTGTAACGAGAAAACCGATAAGCTTCTCTAAGAAACAATTATCTAAATAGTATTTCATATAATAATTCATATTTCCAAAAGTGTAATCCTGAGGATATTGGTTTCAAGAATGTCTTTTTTCAATTATCAAATTGAGTATAGTCTAACTGTAATCATTGTTTTATATTGTTGTTATTGTTGTCAATTTAATGATGACATTAAACTGAAAAACCAAATCGGTATTCTACAACTCTATTCTTTCTTCAAAATTCTGTTGTTGAAAACAAAAACATGGTGTCTATGTTTTACTATATGTTGTGTAGGACTTTTGAATATTTCTCCTTCGGCACAATGGGCAACCAATGCAACTACAGTAGCAGGATCGCCAACCGGTGGATCTGGGTCGACATCATCGTTACTAAGTTCCAATTATGGTATACGTATTACGAACGATGGTACTCTATACATTGCTGACAGAAGCAATCATCGAGTGGTTGTTGTCTATCCGAACTCGACTATAGCTGGTGCAATAATTGGCAGTGGTTACGGTAATGGATTAACTCAAATGAACTTTCCATCGGATGTTTTCGTCACAAGTGATGGAATCTATGTGCTCGATTCTTCAAACTATCGTGTTCTAAAATGGTGGAAAAATGCGACCAATTCGAGCATTGTGGCAGGGATGACTGGCGTCATGGGCAGTACATCAAGTAACGCAACGTTTTCTACAACCTACGGATTATTTGTCGATGACTTGGGTTATATCTATGTCAGTGATGCAGGGAATTACCGAGTGATACGCTTCCCACCGAATTCAACGAGTAGTACGATTGGTAGCACCATAGCTGGGACAGGTTTAGCTGGGTACGGACGTCAAGGATTAGACAGTTCACGTGGAATCTTTGTCAATAGTGATGGAGCACTGTACATAGCTGATACGAATAACCACAGGATTCAAAAATGGAATTCTGGAGCTTGCTATGGAGTAACTACTGCTGGTACAGGATACACAGGAAATAGTCTTGGTCAACTACAAAATCCGAGTTCAGTTGTTGTTGACAGTAATGGATACATGTATATAAGTGACCAGAACAATCATCGAGTTCTTCGTTGGGCACCCGAAGCTTGTGCGGGTGAATGTATTGCAGGCTGTTCGATGACTATCGGAACGAGACCCGATCAATTGTTTTATCCATTCAGTATAGCATTTGATAGCCAAGGTTCACTTTATGTTAGTGATACATCGAATAATCGAGTGCAGAAATTTGCAATACTCAACAATACCGGTGAGTATAAAATCCTTGAGAGGTAAACTTAAAGACGGCATAGAAATGATTTTGTAGGAGTAACAACAACAGCAACTGGATTGACAACAACTACATCAACGAGTTCGATCATCTCACCAATATACACCTCGCCAGGTATTCTTTTTTATCTGTCGATCTGAACTATAGAATCAGTGATGCTGAAAGAGAGTCTTTAGGTGTTACTGTTTTATTCGCTTAGAAGACCGATGGAGGAAATGTAAGACAAGTTTAAGTGTTGATTTTTCACATTGCGTATGGTGAATCATGATGCACAAGAATTCAGATGCATGCAAATTCTTATTCAGAATATATGAAAAAAGATTTGACAAAGACTAAACGAGAATGACATAAAATTTTCTCTAAGCTAACGAGGTAACTGAAGATTCTGGCTTTTTTTTCAAATTGCTTTTTTTCCTTGATAAGATAGCATTGGGTATCCTGGAAATACAGCACATTTTTGTCATTATTTTTTCATAAAGATATGCACTAATAATCTATGTGCAAAATGTTCTATATACTTTCTTATCCTTTTTCACTCATCGATTTATTTAGAATTTGCATTGTGAAATAGTCAATGGATAAGTAGTATTAATTCAATTTATCGTGGCAAGGATAAAAACAGCCATTGTGATAAATAACCTTGGTAGAATGATGTCTATTGCATAGGTCATCAGAAATGATTTTATTGTAAAAAAGAAATAAGAGAAAAATGCTTATCAAATCACTTATAAACATTTGACTTCGAGAAATGTTTATGTCTTAGCAGTAAGAATGAATAAACTTTGACTACAGTACCGTTTTAACCTAAATATCAAGTGTTGTGTATCAGAGAGAAAGTTTACGTGATTATTGAAATACAATAAACGCACACAATAGTTTTTTGTATAGCAACATTAGAAGTAAAGTAAAGTTTTTCAGACTTTGTTATCCTTTCTGGCAACGAATGCTGTTCTCTAATATATGCTAAGATGTTTAGAATCGAAATGTATGTGCCTAATAGCATGTAGAAATAGACACATGCTAAGCATTTGCAATAAATAAGCTGAAAAGGAAATACTATATTTGAGAACGATGATGCCATCATGAAATAACAGCACTTATTCTAATAATATTATCGAATGAGGATACTTCTTTTAAACAGTATTAAATGCTCAATGTTTTGACTAAAGGTAAGCTATATAAACTGAAGAAAACATAGGAGACATTTTAAACGTATGGTCACTATTCTTGTTTGTCATTCATTTAACCATCATATTATTTTGGATTCTTATAAGTTTTTGGCCAGATTAACATCAGCCTGTTACTATATGGTATTAATCGAGGACTATAGACATTTTAGTAATTCTTGCTGACATTCAATGATGTTTTAGTGCTGCTGGTTTTAAACGAAAATTTTTCTACTGGTCTACTTATACTTGTCTAATCTATTGAAACACATAACCTTTTAATTCATTTAGGGCTGTAACAGATCAGTCTGCTATATTATAAACTAGCCTGATCTGAAACTTTGGAGAAACTTGATGTGTTTGTGTCGTATAGTTCTAAAAGTCAGATATCTATTAGAATCTATTTCAAACTTATAATTCAAACTAAATTAAAGCAAACAATTCGATGACTTGCATGACGCCCACTTTTTAACCAAATCTGCCATGAAAATTGTTCATTAAATTCAAATCATTTTCGTTTTTAGAAGCAGTACTCGTACCTACTGCTCAATGGGTAACTAATGCAACAACAGTGGCAGGATCGCCAACCGGTGGATCTGGGTCGACATCATCGTTACTAAGTTCCAATTATGGTATACGTATTACGAACGATGGTACTCTATACATTGCTGACAGAAGCAATCATCGAGTGGTTGTTGTCTATCCGAACTCGACTATAGCTGGTGCAATAATTGGCAGTGGTTACGGTAATGGATTAACTCAAATGAACTCTCCATCGGATGTTTTCGTCACAAGTGATGGAATCTATGTGCTCGATTCTTCAAACTATCGTGTTCTAAAATTGCAAAAAAACGGAACCAATCCGACTATTGTAGCAGGCAGCACTGGCGTACTGGGCACTACGTCGAGTTACAATACATTTGGTGCAAGCTATCAGATGTTCATTGATATTTCCGGTAATATCTATGTAAGTGATCAATCGAATCATCGAGTGCTACGTTTTCCACCGAATTCATCGAGTGGTACGAATGCTAACGTAATAGCTGGGATAGGCAGCTCTGGATATGGCCCTAGTCAACTCAATACTCCATATGGTATATTTGTTGATAGTGCTCGTACCTTGTACATTGCTGATACAAATAATCATCGTATTCAACGATGGAAATACAATGCTTGTTCGGGTACCACTGTTGCCGGTCGTGCTGGCCAAACAGGTAGTGCGTTGTATTTACTGCAATACCCCTCATCGGTGGTTGTTGATATCAATGGATATATTTATATCTGTGATAAAAATAATAATCGAGTTCTTCGTTGGGCACCCGAAGCTTGTGCGGGTGAATGTACTGCAGGCTGTTCGATGACTATCGGAACGAGACCCGATCAATTGTTTTATCCATTCAGTGTAGCATTTGACAGCCAAGGTTCACTTTATGTTAGTGATACATCCAATAATCGAGTTCAGAAATTTTCAGTATTCAACAATGTCTGTGAGTATTGTATAGCATGGCGCTAAACATTGAACCATACGTACGATATTTTAGTACCAACAACAGACGTTACTACAATGGCTGCTGCTGTATCAACGAGTTCAATCATCACATCGATTCTCACTTCAGAAGGTAGGAGTATTATATGATTGAGAAAAAATATGATCTTTAATTCATTTGGACAACGACTACCTTCGTATTGAATAGATACTTCGAGTTCAATGGCATCAACGTCGTCACAAAGCACAGCATTGGCCTCTACATCAAACAAAATTACGACGATGATTACAAATGCAAGTGTCTCAACAGGATTCTCAACCATAAGTAGCACGATGCCGTCGTCGAAGACAAGTATTTCTACAAAATTCTGGAAACTTCTCCATGATAATTCAATGTCATTTTAGCTCAAGAAACCTTTAGTACAATAGCCATGTTCTATCAGACTACGAATATTCCAGGTAAATAATCTTGAATGTTATTGATAAAATTACTTTATTTGAAATTGTCATTAGAACAAACGCCAGTATCATCTACGGCTACCTCAAAGGAAACTACAGCGCTGCCATCCGTAACTACTTCGACTTCACTGACTAGCATGGATTCGATTAAAACGTCACTACCACTCTTCATAGATAGTAAAATGAATTTTGTTTCGCTTGTTTTGAATATTATACTGTCGACTATGTTTAGCTACAGTGGTACCTACAACCGAAATGAAAACTAGCATTGCTACTACCAATATTCCAAAGCAAGAATCAACAATGGAGATATCCACGATGGCGCCATCAACAGTGGGAACGTCTACCACGACAATACACTCGGCAATGGCATCATCTACAGCGCTGCCATCAACTATGACTTCATCTACCGCGACAATGCAATCAACAGCGACACCATCTACGACAGTGCCATCAACAATGGCTTCATCCACCACAGTACTGCCATCGGCAATGGTACCATCTACGGCAATGCCATCAACAATGGCTTCATCCACCGCGGCAATGCAATCAACAGCGACACCACCTACGACAGTGCCATCAACAATGGCTTCATCCACAACGGTACTGCCATCGACAATGGTACCATCTACGGCAATGCCATCAACAATGGCTTCATCCACCGCGGCAATGCAATCAACAGCGACACCACCTACGACAGTGCCATCAACAATGGCTTCATCCACAACGGTACTGCCATCGACAATGGTACCATCTACGGCAATGCCATCAACAATGGCTTCATCCACCGCGGCAATGCAATCAACAGCGACACCACCTACGACAGTGCCATCAACANCGCCCCGGTACCCCCCTCGACACTGGCACCATCTACGGCAATGCCATCAACAATGGCTTCATCCACCGCGGCAATGCAATCAACAGCGACACCACCTACGACAGTGCCATCAACAATGGCTTCATCCACCACGGTACTGCCATCGACAATGGTACCATCTACGGCAATGCCATCAACAATGGCTTCATCCACCGCGGCAATGCAATCAACAGCGACACCATCTACGACAGTGCCATCAACAATGGCTTCATCCATCACGGTACTGCCATCGACAATGGTACCATCTACGGCAATGCCATCAACAATGGTTTCATCCACCACGGTACTGCCATCGATAATGTTACCATCTACGATGGTGCCATCGGCAATGGTAATATCCACGATGATGACATCATTGATTGTACCATTGACGATGGAGATATCAACTGCCACTTCCATGACCCCATTCACTATCGAAGGTAGGGTGGTTATAAATATATCGCTGTTCTAATTTTTCTCTTAGGTTGCTCATCGCCTATCATCACGCTGACGCCTAGTAATCCATTATCTCGTATGCCTTGGTACCATCAACGAGATCAATCATTATCAATCAGTTCAATAATTCAACTTAACTGTCCCAAATCACTCTTAACTCGTATCCAATGGACAATTTATGCATGTCAACCACTCTGCTCTTTTCAAATCGAAATGGATCCATCGGTGACAATCATGACACTCAGCGAACTTTTCCTTCCTTCAAGATCACTGCATTATGGCCTTTATAAAATAAAATTAACAGTAACTATGCAAATCTTACCTCAATTGACTTCATCGGAAGTCACGTACATCAGTATTATTCCTTCACCAATCACAGTCAATCTCATTCGATTCGGTTCATCAATGATTAGCATCGGTCGAAATCAGACATTGATACTCGATCCAGGTTCATTTTCTCTCGATCCCGATGAAGTTATCTTTGACGCTAATGTATGCAATATCTCATTGAATTATAAATTTCTTATTTTCAATGTATTCTTTTCATTCATATAGAATTGGAATTATATTTACTATTGCCGAATCAGTCCTCAATCTAATTTTATGCAAGTCAATAGTCCATTCTGCTTCGGCAATAGATCAGGTAATCTATATTATTCATTTATACTTTTCGAAAATTTCATGAAATTCATAAAGCAGAATGGTACTACGGTTCAAACGGCATACAATCTTCATTAATCATTCAGCCAGGATTGTTTCAAACAAATCAAACATATCAATTGCGAGCAGATTTGATCAATATATTTAATGCATCACGAATCTTTACGGGATATTTACTTGTCAAAGTGGAAGAAACTGATTCAATGATCATTTCAATCAGGTATGATCGAATTCTATCACTGAGTGAAGATAATGTTTTTAGAAAACCAACAGTTGCATCATCTCCGAATCATGTGTATTGGTTGATGAATATCGTATGATCAATCCGACCACGCAGGTATCATTAACTTCACTCTGGTTAAATCAGAAAGTGAACCAATCTTTCAATGGTCTTATCACCTGGAATATCTATCAAGGTTCAATGAATACAACAGTACAATGGAGAATTCTTTCCAATATTAGTACCTTTGCCGACAATTGGTTCTTCGGTAGGTGATGTTTTACGTTTCTGTAAAATTTTCATCATTAGGCAACTCAAAAAATATTTAGGAATCGATTCAGAAAATTTTACGGCAACCAAAGATCTATTCATAAATTATCCAAGTGTGATATATTGGCGTTTCGAAGTGATCTATTCAATGGATTCGATCCATGGCATTGGAGCAATCGATTTTATGATCAATTCATCGCCAAAAAATGGTACATGCACAATTAGTCCTCTTAATGGAACGACAACTACATTATTTACGATCACGTGCTCAAACTGGATCGATAACAACGGTATCAGAGACTATTCATTTTATAGTAAGTCTATCGATTGTAAGAACAAATTTATCATATTATTATTTATGCTAGCATGGACAACAAATTCATCGACACGTGCTATTCTTGGATATACAATTGTTTCCACTATTCAAGTACGATTTCCAGCCAATGGAAACAATGTAACAATGGTTCAAGTCATTGCACGTATTCGAGATATGTATGGATGCATGACTGAAATCGATCTACCTACTGTTTCTATTATCTTTGATATGGCAACAATAAACAATTTAATCAATGATATTCTTACAACTCCCATGAATTTAGTAAATAATACTCAACTCAATAGTAATCCAATAGTTGTAGTTCTCGCAGGTGGAAATCAAAATCTAGTTAGTCAAGTACTCATTGCACAAGTACAAGCACTGAATCCCATGAGCATGAAGATTTTGCAAGCAGCTATTGCAGGTATGAGCTGAATTCGTGGTTGTATAATAGTCCTTTTCGTGGAAGAAAACTTCTTTTTTGCTAAGTTATTGCCTTTTTATGCATCAAAATTCTGATCTGGAAGTTCGATAGATAATAAACATGGGTTTAATTTGAGATTTATATGAGTATTAAATAGATTTACAAATGATCGATTCCTTTTAATACTCATTCTTTGAACATCATGTGATTTGAGGCGAAATTTTCAGTTTTTTTCTCTAAACATTTGCTCTTCTCAATTTTGAGTGGCTTAAAATTACAAAAATTCTAACTATTTCTTTTCTCAGAAATCTACCCATAATATGCATTTTTTCTGTTCTTTTCTAGGCAATATATCTGCAGTGGCAATCTCAGTAGCATCATTAAATGATGAACGACAAGTTCCATTACCTTCTGCATTGAATACATCTACTATGATCGAATACAATCAACAATGGAATTATTTTGCAGCCGCTCGCGATTATCTAATCAGTTTCTGCACCAACCTGGTGATAACGACTATTGACAGTATCATTTTACAAAGTTCAATGTTAGCTCAACTAACTGAGATAACATCTCAGTTGACACGAGATACAACTGTACGATGATTTACTTGTTTTCCCTTTCATATTATTGTACTAAATTCAATATTCTGTAGCTCTTGGCATCGACACGATGCTATCAATTGGCAAATAAATTACTGAATATTGCTTCAACAACAGATTATGATAATATAAAATCAGCTGTCGATTCAATTCATCAATGTGCTAGCAACACATTCCAGGTGAGTTTCGCATAGTTCAAAATCCATTGTATCGATTTATTCTTTTTTTTTATGATGTGATTTCTTCTAGGCGATCAATGTAGTATTACAAGGACGTGGTATCGTTCTTGACCTCGATCGAAAGCGTGCGAATACATTGCCAGTCGATTATGACACGGATCTTGAATTACCATGGTCCAATCTCAGTGAAGTTTTCTATTGTATTTTCTAGCATTCATCATCAACTGCTTTCTTTGTTTTTTTTTTATTACTAAAGATCTCTTTGCCGAGGGTGACGATTTTTCATCGGCAACTATTGAAAAAAATCGCAACATATACTACCAGCAACAGATGGTAAATAGCTGATGAATTTTGATTATTTTAACTTACTTGAATCACTCGTTTGTTCAGGCAAAAATTATTAATAGTCAAACGGATCAAACTTTCTCGATAACGACCAAGGCACTTTTACTGCACTTAAATATTGGTCAAGCGACAAGATTGAATGCACCATCAGTGATCTATTTATTAGAAAAGCTCACATTTAATGCACTTTCGAATAAGAACATTGGTCTTGATGATCATACGCGAATTCGACTTCCTCCAGGAATGAACATTGAAAAGGATGGCAATATATCAGTTTCATATCGGGTAATATTTCCCTCATGTTCAATAAACATTATCGTAAAAGAGAGACTTTAATTCTAGTTTATTGTGATACCATTGGCAGCAGCAAGTCACAAATCAGAATCAATCACCAACATGTCTCGATCATTGTCAGTGACATTAATTAATAATCTTGGACAAGAGATTCCAGTGCAAGCGATAAACAACACCGTAGAGCTGATCATTCCTCGTGATCCGAATCTAATTTTTCCATCAATGATACTTCAGAATACTGCATCGACATCATTATCTGGTAATCTAACCAATAATCAACAATTCAATTTACATTTTATCAATACTACTTTGTCGACTTCGAATATATCAAAATCAGTTCATTTTGAAATGTTATCAGAGGATCAAACTCGAGGCTATATGATCATCTATCGATTCGATGCTGTTCCACAACTGAATTCGTCAATAAATCGAACTGATGGTTGGTCCTTATTCTGTCCTTCAAGTAAGTCTGAATATTTACCACCAAACAAATCATTATTATGATTTGCTTTAATCTTGGTTTTTTGCACTGCAATTGAATTTATTTGATCTATGGTCGTTTTTCGTTCATAGATTTGAACAATGACGGTATATGGACTACTTTCATTGACAATCAACAAATGTCAAATCATCAATCGGTCATATTCGGAGTTCGAGAATTGAATCAAATCGAATTCGATATGTATTGCTTCAATGAAACATTAGAATCACCACCAATTACAGATCAATCTTACAATTTCACGGCTAATTATTCACTGCGTATATTCATATCAGGTTGCTACTATCGCGATCAAAATGATCAATGGCAATCGTATGGTTTAACTGTAAGTTGCTTACTGTTTTGGAAACAAAATCGAACGAATATTATTTGTTTCTGCCAAGGTTGGGCCGTTGACCAATTATTTTGAGACTCAATGTTTAACGAATCATCTTTCAACATTTGCCGGTGGTTTTCTCATTCTTCCTGCGCCAATCAATTGGAATTATGTATTTGCCAATGCAGACTTCATGAAAAACAAGACCATTTATTTGACAATAATTGTTCTCACTGTTTCCTATATTATCTTAGTAATCTATGCTCGTCATAATGATAAGAAAGATATCAATAAGGTTCATCAGTTTCTTCCACTATGCTTCTTACCTTACTCATTGATTCTTCTAGGTTGCTATCACTTTTCTTCATGATAACAATTCGAGCGGAAACCATTTCTATCAGCTTATATTCTTTACGGGTGCTCGAATCGGTGCCGGAACGAAATCAAAAGTGATTAATCATACGAGTAGTCTCTGTTGGAATAGTTGAATGTTTTAAATTTAGGTTCAATTCAATCTAGTAGGTGCCGTAGACGAGACAGGTACTCGAACATTGATCAATCCAAATCGAGAAATTTTACAGCGTGGTTTTGTTGATTCATTTATCATTGCTGTGCCTTCGTAAGGTGATCAATTGTGACATTCAAATTTTTCTATTTAATCATTTTAGATCTCTCGGTGCTCTCCAATATATGCACATCTGGCATGATAATTCAGGTCGAGGTCGATCTGCATCATGGTTTCTGAAATATGTTATTGTACGCAATCTAAAAACCATGGAAAAGACCTATTTTATTTGTCAAAATTGGTTAGCAATTGACAAAGATGACAGCACGGTAAGAGCACTAGTTGATTCATGTTCGAAAAAAGTACAAATGTTTTTTCCTTATAGATTGAACGTTGTCTACCTGCAGCTGGTGAATTTCAAATACATGATATATCATATGTTTTTGCTAAGAAAGCCTATCATAATATGTCCGATGAACATTTGTGGTTTTCGGTCTTTAGTCGACCACCAGCCAGTCATTTTACTCGAGTTCAACGATGCACTTGTTGCTTTCTTTTACTTTTTACGGCTATGCTTCTGGGTATTCTCTATTACGATCAAGCTCAACAGGCGAAAAATGCCACATCTGGTGGTTTTCATCTTGGTCCATTGTACATTACACGAGAACAGGTTCAATACATAATAAATTTGACTCATTCATTTAGTTTTGTCTTTTGTTCTTTGAATAGATCGTGATTGGATTTATTGTCGATATTTTATGTTTTGTTCCGAGCCTACTATTTGTGCAATTTTTTCGACGTATTCGCTCGCGTGATCTTCACGGGCAACTTTCGCCTGTTCTTCAAACATTGTGGAGCATCGGTGCGATTGATCGTAGTATTTCTTTGACGGATATGGCTGAAACATTGGCTAAAAAGAAAAAAAAGAAATTTTTATTTCCATGGTGGTGTTTAATAATTGCTTACATTGTATCATTTCTTTTCGTTGTTATGTGTACTTTTTTTATTATCGCGCGTGGTATTCAATTTGGCGATGTTAAAACTCAACAATGGTTGACATCACTTGTCACTGGCTTTTTCTCATCAATTCTTTTCTCTCAGCCGATCAAAATTGTTTGTCTAGTAGCTTTCTTTGCTTTCTGCAATCGAAAATCAATGGATGATGATCAAGAAGCCGCTGGTTATATTAATAAGTATGAAAACATCTATTTGAATGGTGGTAAAGACGAAGAAGAATATACGCATCGTACAACCGAGGTCTGTTCAATTTTGAATCATTCACTAATAGTTTATTTTCATTTTTGAAAGGAGCCTGATGCTTTCGATGTTTCACGACGTACTCACGTCAATCGATTGACTAAAGCTCAAACGAACCATGAACGCACTGCTCGTCTTCGTGAAGTTGCTATGTGGAAATTAACTCGACAATTGACCTATCAAATCTTTTTCATCTGGATTCTTTTCGTGGTTACTTTTCTCAATCGAGATGCAAGTTGTTTTATTCAAGTCGAACATATGCGCAATTACTTTCTCAATATTGACCATGGAATCTATGACTATACTAAAGCAAGTGTATATTTTCAATTTTCAAAATTGTTTCTTAATTATGCGGTTGTCTGAAAAGTCCTTGCAACTCGTATTCTATGAAGCCTTACGATAACATATGCTGCATCTATTCAATGTTTCTCATTGCATAAGCAGTTTACATGATCATTAGCAACGTGTAGTTGCTACAAAAGGTCATTGCATTGAATAAATGCAACACATGTTATCGTACAGTTCCATAGAATACCAGTGGCGCAGACTTTACAGACAACCTTATAACTATAATTGAGCATTGCAAACAAATAGAATTTCCATCAATGAAAATTGCTTTCAACTTGAAGATGAATATCGATATTGAAGAAGAAAACTGTGAAAGAAATTTTCATCAATTATTTTAATACTAATCAATCAGATCATGTCAATGACAGTCATAAAAGAGATCATATCATATGACTTTTTTTTTAATAGCATGATGAATATGAAAGCACAAGAATCAAAATGATAGTTAGTCAGAATTTGAAGATTCAGCTCATTCGTTAGAAACCATGCAGCGAATATATTTGCCTACTGCATCTCGAGTAGTCAAGACAATGTAGAAACTATGCTAAAATTCAGTCAGTTTGATTTATTCGAAATAGTATCTTGACAATTTCAGTAATACTTATTATAGCTAAGAAAAAAGCAGTCAGCGCAATTTCTGCGAAATAAAAATGTGAAACACGATGTAGCTGTTGTTGCTAATCATAGAGAGAAGATTTTATTCTGTATATCGTGGAACATATATCTTCACTTTCCTTTAACTTAATCCTCCAGAAATGCAATAAGGAAGTCATAACGATGCATTATTTATATACGACCTGTAATCATGAACGAACAACGTATGTCACAGTCTGTGAAACGGTTAAAGTAGGTCCAAATTTCGATCCTATACACTTCAACACTGCCTTTAGATTGTGTTTTACCCCTAAAAACCGAAACTGATTGCTTTTGTAACAAGATTTCCATTCAAATAAAACACTATTTCGATTGATGAGCTTCAAGCCAGTTGCTAGAAAAATGCCACAGATATCAGGAGCCTTCTGAACTAAACGTAGGGAAAAATAATTTTTTTGACAAAGGACATAATACATTTCCCCGTCGATTCATTGCTGATATTTTGTTTTCCGATAAAAATAAACAATTTTCATTAGATATCAACTGTCGGTGATTATTGGCAATGGTTGCAATCGAGTTTTGTCTCCAATATTCGAGCACAACAGTGGTACAATGGCGATCCTCCAAAAAATTTGAATGGTTTTATTAACGATAAAAACAATCGATTAATTGGATGGGTAGTAATGCGTCAACTACGTGTTAGACCAGGTTTGTCTTTGACTGATTCATTCACTATATACGTAAAATTTTTATTAGAGTATGATTGTCGAATATCTGATATGTTCCATAATATTGTTCGATGGTGTTCAACTAACTACCAAATTTGGATGGCAGATCGACGTTCATTTCAACCGGGTTGGACATTAAACACAAGTCATACGTCCTACAGTCAATCGATTCAAAATGCGTTTATCTATCGATCAAGTAGTGAAGTTGATTCTTATAGTCACATGACTGATTATGCTTTTTATGATGGTGGAGGATATACCTATGAATTCCGTGGTCGTTTAAATGATATAAAAGAGAATCTTACTCTACTTCATCAAATCTCATGGATTGATCGATTGACTCGTGCTATTTTCATTCAATTTAGTTTGTACAATCCGAACGCAGAACTCTTTACATCGGCAACAATAACTGTTGAATTTCCAGTAACCAGCGGTTTAATTCCAAGTTCTCGTTTTGATCCATTTCGATTTCATAGTGATTTAAAAGGTTTTTCATCCATATTTCATTTTATTTGTGCCATAATCTATCTTGTTCTAATTATCTATTTGACTCTTACGGAAGTTCGATCGTTGATAAGAAAAAGACGAACCTATTTTCGTGTATTTTGGTCTTATATTGAATGGAGTATCATTGGATGTTCATGGGCAAGTTTCGGTCTAGTTGTATGGCGTTATCGAGAGATGTCTCGAATTGGTACTATTTTCCATAATACGAATGGTATGCAATATCTCAATCTAGAATTAGTGACTTCAGTCGATAATTATTTGGCATGTCTTCTTGGCTTATGTTGTTATTTTGCCTTGATTAAACTTATCGGCTTTTTTCGCTTTAATCGACGTCTCTCAGTATTCAATCGTACTCTACAATATGCTGCAAAGGATCTTCTGCATTTAACATTGCAATTCTCAATTATTATATGTGCTTTTATTACACTTTTTTATTTGCTCTTTACAACAGCAGTCCGATCATGTTCAACTCTTCTACTTACTACTCAAATGTTGTTTGAAACGTTTCTACTCAAATTTGACACATCTGAATTGATAGCGGCACACTCTTTTTTGGGTCCATTTACATTTGCTCTGTTTATCTTTTTACTTGTTTTCATCGGTTATACTATGTTTATTTCTTTGATCATCGATGCGTTTCATCGAGCCTTACACGAAAACAACTCGAATGAAAATAATGAAGAGTTGATTACATTTGTTTTTTCTAAGCTCAAACGATGGATACGTAAGTGTAAAAATACTTAACAAATTTGAAATAGTATTTTTATACTCTTTTTTAGGTTTACGCAGGCCTACCATTGAAAAACATGACGTAAGAACACATTTGGAGTATCAAGAATTGTTTGATCGATTTCCTAATACAGTCGATCAACTTCTTGCAACTTTAGAACGAGTGAGTTCATATTAACTTTATTCAGTTTGACATTTTTCATTTCTTTTTTCGATTATTCTAGCTCTTTATCGATCGTCGTCACGCACTGCCCTTACCACAATCATAAGTATTATTCTTTATGGACTTTTAATGAACAAAAAAAAACATATGATATGCGGTTTCAAATAAATTGACTTACAAGTTGAACTTAATTTTTGTGCATTATTTTTTGTATTTTGCTTCGCATAACATGACACTCATTTGTGAAAGACAGTTAGTTGCTTTTTGTCTGTATTTCATACAAAATAATATTATCATCAATGTTGTTAACAAATGTTTAGAAAATGGAACTGCGTTGGAAATGTCAGGGAATCTTTAACAGAATAAGGATGACGACTAGTATTACTCTATGTTCCACGAATAGAGATCGAATATTTTTCGGAGAAGAACCTGCAGTGAGAATCAAATATACGACGGCATCGGTGCGACTAAACCCCGTTGGGTTCAAAATTTTATACTACTGAATAGTCTGAATAAAACTGTTGTAATTGAAAAGGACTTCGGTTGTTCGTTAGAAACTCGTAGATTCGACATGCCAAGAACTCTCGTCTTTATGTTGAGTTATCAGTTTGAAGACTCATGTGAATGGTTGACTTGAATTTTGCTAAAAATATACCTTATATTTATTTAATACTCAAATGAATACAATTTGCAAGTTATTTTTTCACATGTAGTTCAGTTTAAATAAATGATCGTTTTTCGTAAACTTAACATTAACTATTTGTTCAGATTTACCTATGTTCTACACAGTACAGATTTCGGTTTGTTAAATATAAGGAAATATAATCCAAGCATATATGCTAGCATAAATATCGGCATATGTTTGACTATAAAAAAGTTTATTTCATCGTGAACCGGCTTCAAAGTATGTGTAAACGAGATTGTATTTGAATGGAGCTTAACTTTTAAACCAGGTAATGCAGCAGGAACATATTTTCCCGTAGTTGCAAGTTGTTCATCAGTAGGTTGATAAGTGTCAGAGTTGTTTGATAAATGAAGAACTAAACCATCTTCCTGATGTTCCATCCAAGCTTCACCGGCGAAATGTACCTCACCATCATAACTAGATATAGGGATATGTTTTGATAATATCCAATCGATGAATTTCAAACCTGGACTATTCTGCATACCAATGAAAAAATCACCGGTAATCACAATATTATACGGATGTGGTTCGGTTTTAGTATGAATAGTCACCATAGATGCTAAAGGTCTAGGAGCAAAGTAGCCATGGTCATCCCAACATGAAGCCATTATATTATGTATTGTAACAACAACGGATCGAGAGAAAAGTACATATTTTTTTATTCGAGTTATCAAACTTGGATTTTTCATTGCAAAAGCCCGAAGTGTTTGTGCCAGATAACTATTGACATCAACTTGCTGTTTGTTTGAAATTAATTTACAATGTATGTGATCCAATGATTTTTCTTACTGTCGCTCCAAAGAAACTGGGATGAAAAATTTCTAGATGTGTCAATGAATCACAATCGTCAACTATAATTGGTTTCATCAGAACAATTGTTGCTTCAAGTAAGGATGCTCGGAGATGACTCCCAGACGGCATACATTCATTGATAATTTTTTGGCATGTGCAACCTAAACTAGTAATTTCTTTTTTCCTACTTCACTAAAATGTTCTTCGAGTGTTAATCGAGTCTTACATATGAAATCTAGCACTAATGGTTCACCTCTATATTTCAAACCATTGCCTAGAATTCTTTGAAACAAGACCCGAGCACAGAAATGATTATTTGAGTTAGTACCATTACTGGTAAATCCAGCCGAGTTTAGTACACATTCATTGGCATATGCACAAGACACATGTCAACTGTTTGAATGTTTTAATATAGCTTGTCGAAGTGCTGTTAATGCATTCTTTGGTAGATTTCGACAACGAATGAGGTATCCTGATTGTACACGACCTTTCGTATCGGTGATTGTGCTACATTGACGCCAAATCATGAATGTCGTGAATTTAACATATCCATCACTATGTTCAATTGGAATAGTCAAATAAACATTCGGCAGTCCAAATCCAAGAAATATTTCATTTTTATTGCCAAACAACTTGTCCAACGAAATAAGTTTGATCGCTTGGAATTCTGTTTCTTGTACTCCGTTTTGTAGTATGTTGTGTTCTGATAGGTAATGTGCATCTATGATTAGTTGTGTTTTTCTGTAAAAAAGTGGTTCCGATGGAACTAAGGCATCCGTCCAATTTCCTTTCAATTGTGGAATATTTTCATGTATATTAGATGTTGATGATATGTCTAGCATGTTGTGCAGTGCATCCATGCATTCATGCATTGTTTCTTTCTGTTCGCAGCACAATATCATTATCAATCATATACTACTGGATATAGGTCGTAGTTTTCAGAGCAGTTGATTTAACGCTTTTATCAATTTAGATGCGATACCTTATTCCAGTAGTACCCCTAGACAATAATGTTGGTCGATAAGCTTTGAAAGATAGAATCTGACATATTCTTAATTAAATTCAATCAGTTGAGAAAGTATTGAGTTGAAAATTATTTTGATGGATTGGTGATTTTCCTGAAAAACTTCATCTGTACATCATAGTTTATATACTAGACGCAAGAAATCGTACTACTGAGTAAAAAGTTCATAAACTTCAATATTATTGCCTGATATTTTATTCATGATGAAAACACTTGTTTCTTTTTTGTAGGTCCTTAAGAAAAGCTTTTTAAACACTTTTCGAATTTTCAATTATTTAAATGCGTTAGTCTCCACTTTATTATGAACAAATAGAGATTTTCATGTCTATTCTGTATCACAGGTACAATACTCTAAACTACTGTAATATTGAGTCCTGAGACAGTCTCCATTGAGTGGAACAACCTCAACATGAATTGCTTCTCTATTGACAGCGGCGATCGTGAAATTTTGAGGAACAACTTGATTAGAGCAGGACACTTACTGAAGAAAATTTCAAGACTAATGGTTTAAATTAGCTACACTCCTATAAACTCTCATGTAGAGGTTACCCAAAGATTATTTCATAAGTCAGACAAACTAAAACCGTTTGACATAAGATTTTTCTTGGTGTTAGAGACAGCACTGAGCTAGCAACTGTCATGTGATTTGTTTTCTATGTATGTTGAGATATCCGTATATGTAGACAAAATCTATGTTGACCTTCTAGTTCCTCTGCATGAGCACTGATCAAGTGCTGTTTAGTTCTTGCCATCACAGTTCAACATGTTCTCTATGTGGTCAAACTATAAGACCAAATAATTACAATTTAGATACTTTATTTTTACTTGGTAGCAGGACTTTTTGTGACTACTGTATGTCTAAATGATTGAGAAAGTAGAACATGTAAAAGACAAGCTACTTACTTGCCTGTCTATTACAATCCTATGCAACCAAACTTCATCAATAATCTATTTAGAAGCTCTTATCATAAAGAGCCAATCGAAGTCAATCTAGTTTCGAAATAGGGAAGATAAAACTTACTTTTGTTGCATGATGCAGTGAGATTTAAGTCATCTACAAGTTTTTTTTGACGATATTCCTTTGAATGACAATGCTCCCGAAATGTTTTTATCACTTCTATTTTTCATGCGTTATACTTGTTTTTGAAGTCATTTTTTCCCCGCTTTATCAGTTCTTTTAAAAAAATGTGAGAGAAAGAATACTTTAAAATCGTCTACCTTTGGAAAACATTCCTTTGTTTGTGTAAGCTGTATACTAAACACAAGTACTATGACAGAAAGTTGACTTTTTCTTTTTCTTTCAATCACAAAAAAACTTTCATGATTGTAGAATATCTGTCATCACAAGCCAATTTTTTGTAGCACAGAAAAATCGTAACGGAGAACGACAAAAAATTGAAAAGTACCATAAAAAATCTGATGTAATAAAACAAAAATGACGTATTACATTGAATATAGAATAAGTTTGATTTTCGTAGCCTTTGATGATCAAAAAGAAACTTTAAATAAATAAAATTTTGATGAAGTAAATGAGCATGTTAAATCAAGAATCCAGTAAGTTTAGATAAATATTCTATTACAGTGCCTATTTTGGGTGGGTGTGCGTGTGAATGTTCTCTTTACCAACGCTTACACGTCCGCCGGCATCCACACACAGTTCTTTTGTTTCACAGCAGGGAGTCCTGAAAACTGGGCATATATGCTGATTAATGTGTGACGAAACTTACAATTTCTTAATTGATCTGATTATAAGAATAGTGTCTTCTGTTGTAGGAAGATGATTTCGATAACAATTGTTTGCAAATAAGATGTAATAAAATTAAGATAATAATTACATAATTTTAGTTATATCTAATGGAACTTTCAAAAGCTTCTCTTTTGATTCCGAACAATTTCAAAATTTTCTAATGTCGATTTCGGCACTATTGGGTATAGCGTTTCTTAAGTTTCTCTTGGTTTTGGTTGAATTTCAATTTTGAAAAAATCATGTCAGACTTGTCTCTGAGTTCTACTCACTTTTCTCGTCTCTATCTCTCCGGAAAGTATCCTCTTTAAATACCTTCCTCTTCCACTTACAGATATAGTAGCAGAAATTGTTTGCCTGAAACTGCGTGAAACTCGGTTAAAACGTTCCATCGGAAAAATATGAAGCCGTTGCAGATCTGTAGAGTATCTCTCAGTTAAAATCAAATTTCTGACTTGTAGCTCTTTTCCTTTTCCATGATAGCTGTTGTCACGTATTCAGGTTATACGTAAAAGCCAGAAAAAGTATTGTATTATCAATTGCATAATACAATAAAGGTCAAGGTCAATAACTTGTTTTATTGACTTGAAGAACAGAAACAACTAACAAGTTAGATGAAACGAAACGAACAAAAGTTATATCCTCTTTTTAAGAAAAGATAAGCATATATATATAGAGAGATCTATATGTTGTGATGACGTTCCAAGTCGCTAGCGATTAGACAGTTGGATATATTTCCTTTTAAGAATATTTCACTACAAACCAAAAACGTTCATGCATATCTTTTTTGGAATAACAATCATTTTGATCGATTGTAAATGTTTATTATCTCATCCGACAACATAACTTCCTTATATTTGATCTAGATCATCATTAATCAATTCTACTAGTTTGATTAATATGTATGTTTCACAAATTGTTGACTGTTAATAGAAAAAAACAAATGTTAGTTTTTATTTTGTGTTAAACACCGATCCTGATGATTGTTTGCAAATCCCAATGGCAAAATATCAAAATACATAACTCTCTATGGACACTCAAGAGATATTAAAATTAGTCGAACTACTCTTTGTTATCTATGCTTTAATTACAGCACACATTAGTCCTCTAATCTTAATAAAAAAAAAAGAAAACAATCGTTGATATTGTAATTATATTCTTTTTCACTTATTAGAAATCTTGTTATTCTATTTCTGTCTGTTCATATCTTTATTATTATATTTTTGTCTATAAAAATAAATTCGATTAACATTGCAACATCAAATTTAGTGTAAAATTTAAGTGATATAATGTTTTTTTGTTTTTGTACAAATAATATACAGGAGAGTAGTAAGCAGCCAAATATCAACATTATTTTACATAACTTATTGATAATATCCTTTTAATCAATGTTGTTCAGAAATGACATAACATAAAAGATATAGATGAATAAAAATGCTGTGGAACCAAAGAACACAGTGGTAATTAACATGTTGCAGATAAGAGTAATTTTTGACATCCTTGTGGCACCCTTGATATCTCCTTCTTGTTTTAGTTTTTTCGTTTGTAATGATAACATCAGAGTAATCAAGCCTAACATAAAACCTAAGAATACATTGACTATTGACCAAGTCATATAATCTCGAATATGAAGTGTTTCATAAGGAATATAATCGTCAGGAACTGGAACACTTTGACACGGTTCTGAAGTCTTTATAATATTAACTGAAGATAGTGGATACAATGGTGGTGGTATTGCATAAGGTGGCGGTGGTCCTTGCATTGGATAAGCAGGTGGGGATATCGGTTGTATTGATGATGTTGGTCGATAACAGTTATTTGTATTAAGTTCATCGAGACAGTTCATGTTAGTATGCATTGCTGAACTATAAGAATTATAGACAGTGGCCATTTTCTGTTTATAACAAACGCATTGTTTTTAAATTTGATCGCATCAAGAAAACAACTGTTAAACACAATAGTGCGAGCGTTTTCTACTCTATTTATATATCACAAAGCATTACTTCATGACAATAATAGAACCAGTACGTGTTAGACATCTATAATCTTAATAAATCTTCCACTTACGTGCTGTCTAACATCTAAATTTTCTCTATCACTTATATTACTGTTGACGTTTGGTGAATAAGATATATTTACACTTAATAATTCTTTTTTGTTCAACTTCAGAGAAAAAAAGCTCATGCTTATAATATAATTGAAAGATAGTTGGAAAATAGATGACAAATATGAGATCAGTCATGACTAAAAGAGAAAAAAGCCCATAAAGAATGAGAAAAAGAAGTCCTGCATGTTTCATAAATATTGTGGAATGTAGAATTTAATTTTGATAGATTGCCAACTTTCCTCCAAATCGTGCACTCTAAAATCGTCTTTCAGTTCTATCGTTTCACTACTGCTTGCTCTTCGATTAATAAATCTTATTTATTAAGTCATATTTTCTATGATTTTTAAGCATAAAAATAACTTTGATAATTCAGCTGTGCATTGTGAAATAATAATAATATAGGATATTACGACAGAATCTAATTTTAATGTCAATTGATCTATCCTCAAATAGAAAGGTCATAAAGTCGCATACAAAAAATTAAAGAAAAAAAAAGATTTTTCTTGAGTAGCTTCATCACTTGCAAGTAAACTTTCTTTTATACTCTCATATTTCATCTACATTTACTTGTACACTATGTTATTAATATATATGTCACAGTACTGTTTAGAATATAGTTGAGTTCGGAATCATCCTAGTTCAGATTGGAATTCTGATTTGAACTAGGACATTTAAGAATCTTAATTCTTACTAGTATGATATAGAACGATCTTATGATGAACTAGTTCGATTTGGAATTCTAGTTTGAACTAGGATGGTTTGAGATTCTAATGTGACCTATTCATACCGGACTAGTACNAACAATTTCGAAAATATTCAAAAAAAATTATTTTCTTGTACTCTTTAATCTCCTGTTTAATGGGGGCTCAAGTGTCGGGGGCTCAACTGTCGGGGGGGCTCAACTGTCGGGAGGCTCAACTGTCGGGTGCTCAACTGTCGTGTCACCGTTTTGGTATTCCTATAACAGATATTGCACCATGTGATATTAATGCGCTGTTCATGAATGACGTAATATCAATTAATTTTTTCGAATGTTCTTTTAATCTGATTAAATAATATACAGTAACACCTCCCATAGGTGGACACCTCGGTATAGTGGACACTCCGTTGTCAGACGGAGCGATTTTTGCTGAAATCGAACCTCTCTATAGTGGACACCATTATTCAGAGTTTGGACAGAGTGTTGTGAATCGTTGGTTAACAATCAAGGCTGCTGAATTACTTGACATCGATTCTTACATTCCTGTTTTCAACTGGTGAGATGCTAATTTATAGTTGAAGGGCTGATTGAAGCTGATATAAAAATGTTGACCATATCTCTCTAGTGGAAAGTCTGTCAATTTTGTCTGAATCATTGGCAATGATGAGAAAGCTTCATATTTTTGTGTGTAGCTTCCTCAATGAGACAAAACAAACAAGTCAATCGGTCTAGAAGCTATCTCATTTTGGAACGAGAACAGTCATATTGATCTCACTTACGTTGCGTTTTTAAAAAACAGACTGATTTTTGATCAACTAGCCACTGGAAAATGGGACCATGAGCTCTGTCGAACTTATAAAAAGAGAAGAAAAATGAAGAGGAGCAAGACATACTTTGCACAACACTATGATTACCTTCAATTGCCCAAAAACATAAAAGGTAAACAAGCAAATTTGATGGTAAGGGTGAAAATGAAGCTCATCCTCACTCTCACCTTTATTGGGATCATGATCGTTGATTACTGATGAAACAAAATGTGATCTGTTTTGGAAAACGCGATATGAAAGAGATCACTGTAACTTTTTCCGTTCCAAAATGACACTGTTTCTATGCTAATTAGCTTAATTATTTGATATCTTTTAGACAAAAGCGCCTTTTGTGTGCACTCAACAGCCTAAACTGCACTTTCGAGTCTTCAATCTCGAATGAAAATTAGCGGATATTTTTTAAAACAGAACTGAGGCAAAAATTATTTTTATAATTTTGTCTGAATTCTGACGTTATTTTCAAGGTTAAAAACACACCAAGAGCGAATTACTAACGTGCTCAACCTAGTTATTTGATACGTTAACGTTCTGCAGATATCTAGAAAAACGTGCCTTCTAGTTCTAAAAGAAATTGACTTTAGAAAAGAGGTAATCTCTCTATAGTGAACACTTTTGAAAAGTTCGAAGGGTGTCCACTAGAGGGAGGTTTTACTGTATTTGACAAGTTAACCATTTATCTTCTATTGGTCATTCAAGTGATCATTTATAGATAGATAGCAATGGATGAACGACTCCTGGAGTTCCTCAGCTTTGAAATCATTTTAAACAACAGACTTCGTTGGGTACCGATCGGTACAAGAGATTATTTTGTTCTAACGATTCGTCTTCGAAGTATCGGATCTACGATCTCGATAAATTTAAAAAAAAAGGGAACGACGTCAAAGTTGTGAAAACAAACTGTTCTATGACAGTAGAAAGTAGACGTCGTACGCACTGTCTGTGGAGTTTCAATCCATGAAACGACTCAATTAGTGAGCCCAATATGTTTCACAAGTTTCACAATAACTTCGTAACCTTCGAATAGCAAGGCACTAATTGTGATACATAGCTGCTATTGACCTTGAGGAGGCAATCATCAACAATGTTAATATATGTGTTGGAAATGTTATCAAATGAATAGTCGAAACAATATGTATTACAAAGAAAACGTGAGTGTGGATCTGTCTTCATTTAACCCACATCTTCATCAATATGTTCGTTTTTTTTTCAATAAAACGAGATGAAAGTCTATGTAGAAACTAATGCGCTGCTGGTTGCTGTTTCATTTGACCGTATAGATATATTGCTCGTACCCATGTAAGAAGATTTGCACCGGCACGCGAGATATTGTTCATAGTTGTTGACTGCATTTCTTCACGTGTCATGTACGATGCTGCACGTGTTACTTGCTCAGCTGTTATCCGCTCCTTATCGAACTGCAGCAATATTTGAAGAAAATTACTCTTCCGGAGTAATTGGCGTCCGTCATTCCAAGTGAATTTATTACTTGAAATTTCGGGTTGTAGAAATATACCGACCACTTGCATTAATGTCGTAATAGCTTTTGGTGGGTGGGCAAAACAAGCCAACTCTGTTAAACTTTGTTTATCGATCTGTTGAAGAGCACGCTCAGCCTCTAAAATAGAAAAACCGGCAAAGTTCTCTTGATCTAAAGAATATCGAAACATTGATATACAAACCTTGTAGTGCATTAGTAACATCGTTTTCTGATACTGTTGCCATTTAATTCTAAAACGAGACAACTCTCATAATCGGTGCGATGATAATATTTCAAATTAGAAGATTCAATGAGATACTTCTTCTCATTCAACAATATTTCATGGAAATGCTATGAGTAAAGTGAATGCATTGAAGAACATTGCAGGATGGACAATTCAATCGTTACGAATTCTAACACTTTTATGGAGAAATTTTTGAATTCATAGTTAGCATCATGATTTGTCCTTTCTGCAATAGTATATGTTAGGAAAAAGAAACTCACGAAGTATTGAAGAAAGTGCATATTCCGATAATCAGCAAAGAAATCAAACCAATCATATTTGCGCAATTTTTTCTCAGTGAAATGCATGAAAAATTGATGAAGTTTTAATGTCCTCGTAGTTTTCATAACAAGTGTTCTCGATTGTATACTAGCAAAGTGCTAATTTGATTTAGCTATCGTTGAGTTTTATGTTAGTAGGATTCTGATTTCGAGAATGGATTGTCTCATTCAAAGTAGATACTGTCGAAAAATTCTTGTGTACAATGTTCAGTTTTGGCATAAACGCTCTTAATAAGTCGTGTTTTTTGACGCACTCTTCAAAGGGAGCTAAATGATCATTTGTGTGATTGAATATTTTGTAAAAATATATTTAAACGAATAGAAATGAGTAAAAATGAAATAATCATATCAAATTAAGTAGTTTGATTTTTTCTTCAGGTGATAAAAATAAACTTACAAGTCATTGGAAAGACTAACCAAATGGAGTTCACTCTATGTGAGGTAAACAAGAGAACAGAACAAAGCGTTTATATAAGCTTTTGCGAAGCACTTTCAGCTCTTTCTTCCAGATTGGTTTTGTTCGGTGCCTATAGCAACGATGATTCAGCCTTTCAATGTACTTTTTTCTATACGTCAGAAATGTGAATAACACTATCACATGCCGCCAAGGACAAATAATGAATGTTTAGCTTTAATAGCTTTCTTGTTTTCATGAATATTTCGATGACATCATCGCGCTTTTGCTCAATAATTATTGCGGCTAGCACATTACCACAGACATAAATTGGAAATGGTAATAAATAATTCTTTTTGAAGCACTATCTTCAGAAATCTTATACTGTTGGGGAGAACTTATGAGGCGTCATTAACTGTAGTTTATCTATCAGAAAAAGAAGATAAGATAAATAACAATTTTCATTCCTTGGCACAATTCAATGGATTGCTCTATAAGAAACATATGGAACGAAATTATTAGCCGCTCAAATTTCTCACCATAGCTATCTCCAGTACAATTTTTTCTTTATATCGGTTGTTTGGAAAATTTTGCGAAAAAGAAGATACAAGAGACTACTTTTGCGTTTCAGGAGCTCAAAAAAACGTGATAGCGTCAATCAGTAATTTTTTAATTTTAATATTGCAATAGAGAGTGAATCTGTTTATTGTTGCTGCCGATGTTTTTCGTCTATTCCAGCAACACCAAATGAATTCATAGCCGCAAATGTGTCTCAATCATGCATCATTGGTTCTACAGATAAGATTTTGTTATAATTAATTACTTCATTACCTAATCAACTAGTTAACATGTCAGTGGATAAACAACTTAGGATCTAAGGGTAGATATGGCAAAGTGGACAACTAGGCAAACAAGACCTCAAGTTCTATTTTTCAAAGTTTAAATATTGAAATAAATACGTCTATGGCTAGTCTATCTCACGCTAGACCTAGATTTTCAGAAATCAAGTTGATCCATGGGAAAAGCAGTTGCCAAAAAATTTGTTAATAAATCGCTAATTGTACGAAGACCAGTTCTGTTAACAACTTATCAACATATTTTAAAATGAAAAACTATCTCAAACGAATGATTTAGTCCATAAGTTTCGTTGTGGGGAAAAATTGTTTCAATCCAACCAGAAATAAAGTAGAAAAAAAGCGATTACTGGGACGAAAGTAGGTCAAGAAATCTGTCATATCGTATTTTGTGTACTCGCCAAAGAGTTCTAATCCGATTCAGCTCAAATTTTCACCATCTATTCTCGTATATGCGATTTATCGCTATGCATAGCGCCGTATCACACCAACAAACAGAAACAGAAGTTGCTTAGAAAACCAGATTTCTGCCCATGAATCGTTAGTTTTACGAAAACAGAAACATTTTAGCCAGAAACCAATGTGATATTCGAAATCAGCTCGTCAAGCTACATCGAATCATATATAACAGTAAGTGCTTCTCGAAAAATAAGTCTGTTTCAGTACCCGACAGGTTTCTGAAAATCAGCTTTTCCGTATTTTTTAACTCTCCCAAACAATCTTTGTCTGATTATGTTCAATCTTTCACCAGTTATTCTCCTGTATGTGATTCATCGTTGGCCGTATCGCCATTTCACATCAATGGACACAGCCGGTGCTATGAAACTCCCCAAAAACCGAAGTTTTGATCTTCCAAATTCCTATTTTTGGCAACATGGCATCATTTTAGGGAAAAACTAAGTCAATATCCAGAATCAGCTCGACGAGCTGCATCTAATGATATATAATAAAAAGCGACTTTTAAAAAAACAAATTTGTACTATTATGCTAAAAATGTTTTCCAAAATTCGCTTTCTCGATTTTGCACACGTTACAAACAGCTTCAATCGAATTCAACTCACACTTTGAGTGAATATTCCTCTATGCGAAATGTATCGTAGTCTATGCTGCCAAAAAGCTTTCATGAATGTCGACGATGTCACGGGCTTTCAAAATACTCTGGTGTTTTATCCTAAATTCCTATTTTTTTTTTCTTAAAATAACATCATAGTGAAAAACTAAGTCGATATTAGCAATCAACACATGAAACTATGTCGAATGATGCGTGGAACAATATATTTCATAACAAAGATATTTTTTCGAAAACTGTGGCAAGGGTATCCTACGGGTAATTTTTGCGGAAAAGTTTTTTTCAAGAAAGGGTTTATTGTCCTAAATCTGATTTTCTAAGTGATATATAACCACTTCTAAGCAATAAAAACCCATTTCCGAGCACAAAATGACATGTCCGCCTCCGATACGAAAGTTTCCCACTGTGCCACTATGCTACAGGTACGGTATTCAATATCTGTAGATTCGATAACTTACATAATATGTAGTTTGATTGTACATGCTATATTTCTGAAGATCATCTACGAGCGTTATAGATGTAGAAAAAAACAATTTTGACTACGATAACATTTATGTGCGCACGTACTTATAGCAGGATCCAGTAAAATTTGAAGAAAACTCATACTATAAAAAGTTTGTCCATAGAAAAATTGATCGAATATTGTCACTGTTAACTGTTGAAACACAACGTATGCTTTACAGTGTAAATATGAATATCAGAAAGATCTACATATCCACAATAACATCTTTACGAAAAATAACGCTAATGTTTACTTGAACATAATCTTATTAGTCTTATTGAATAAATAATATGTAAACAATGTCGTCTATTAACAATGAAGATAAAACGAGTAAGTGATTAAATCTTTTTTCTCTGGAACTCAGGATGAAACAAAACAAATAACTATCAATATATTGAACATTGTATATATTATAATTCAGTTTCAACGGCGAAATGTAAATTGATTGTCATAATAAATATAATACATTTCAAATTTTCTTTCTCTTTCAAAAGATCTGTATATCTATTTATATTTTAACACTCAATAACAAGTGAAAGACTAGAGATACATTATGTTGTTTCTTTTCAAATCTATGTTGATTGAAAAGATAAAATATTATTCATATATAAGACAGTTTTTCGATCTATTTCAACAGCTTGTAAATTGAACACAAGTCAATCACAATGTGCTGGTTTTTATTCTCGAAAGAAAAAAAACACAATAACAAAAAAAAAACAAAAGTGAGTAACAACTATTTCTTTTTGCTTTTCTTATTATTGGTATTAAAGGAAAGTGTTTTATTTGCGTCTTTTTTTTTACTAACGTTTTTCTCATTATAATTAAATGTTGCCAATTGTTTTTCAAGTTTATCCACAGAACGTTGACTAAGTAAACCCTTTGATATCAACTGCTTAATCAAATCTTCAGTTTCATTAAATTCATGTCCACGTGTTTCTGCTTGTGTTTTTAATGCATTTAAATATGAATGCAGAACTTTATGTGTATTCACCGTCAATGATGTGGAAAGTTTTTCTTCGTCTTGTTGTTTTTCAACTTTATTATCTTGAACAGATGTATCTAATTCTTCTTCTAATCCAATAATCGCTCGTATTGGTGTTGCATTAGATGAAGATTTATTTATTGATTTAATATCTTCAGTTACAACTGCAACAGCTTCAGCTGTTTTTTCTGTATTTAATGTTGTTACAGCAACATCTTTTGCATCTTCAAGACGATTTGTTCGATGTATAAGTTTAACAATATTTTGTACACCAGAATGAATTATTTGATCAAGTTCAGCTTGAATACCACGAATTAATTCTTTATCAGGAAACATATCAGCAAAACGAAAACTAAAAATAACACAACAAATCTTCATAAAAAATTGTACGATTGGTAAATAAATATTAACCTGAGCCATAAATAAAGATCTAGACAATCGAAAACTTCTTCCAAATGTACTAAATCCATAATTGTATTTGGTATTTCAAATGGCCAACCTATTTGTTTAGCAAGCCAATCAAATGTTGTTGGTTCACTGCGACTAAATTGACGTGCATACTTTAAAATAAAATTAAAATCAAATATATTTATGAATAAAAAGAAAAAAAAATTACTTTCAAAAATATCGTACAAACAAATGGCATTTTTTTATTAATCGGAGCACATGAAAATGTATAACGAGCACGAAGTGGTAATGGTACATGTTCAATAATATCAGCAAGAAATTTAACATCTTCAACATTGCACATAAAAAATAGACTATCGTCTAATTGTGATAAAACTACAAATATATCCTAAATAAATAAATAATTTATTAGATTACTCATTTGTATTAATAACATACAATTAAACTTGAAAGCGAATGTTTAGGTAAATGATAAGCAAACATTTCAATTTGTTCAGCTGTTGGATGAAGTCCAGCACGCTAAAATAAATAGATAATTCAACAAATGAAATTAATTTCTTATTCGAATACACTATACTTTGATTGTTTCTACTTGTCGACTAACAATGTCTTTCAATAATGGTAGATCATCACGTCGAAATGTTGTTACTTCACCATCTGGAAAAGCACTTGCAAATCTAAAAATGAATATGGTTTAAAAAATTTCATAATTTCATCGAAATTATTTAACCTTCCAGCTCTACCAGCAATTTGTAAAGCTTGTGATGTTGTAACGGTATCTTTTTCTTTTTCTCCTTGTTCATTTAATTGTGGTTTTACAAGACTATAGAAAATAATACGTTTAATACTCCTATAAACAAGAGAAAAACAAGTCAAACATGAAAAACTTAAAATCAAACTCGTAAACATACAAATTTAAACCCATGCCAATAGCATCTGTGGCAACCATTATTTTACATGGATCATTTGGATCATTAAAACGTTGAGCTTGTAATAATTTCGTACCTAATTGAAATTTGAATATTTTTTTTTTATAAAATTGAAATTAAAAGATAATTTACCTGGTGGTAATGATCCATAAATAACAGCTACTTCATGACCACGTCGTTCTAATTCACGTGTTATATGAAATATATCATTTTTACTGAAGCATACAAAACAATCGCCTGCTTTGACATTATCGAATGTTTCTAAATTATTGCTAAAAAGCGTAAGTTAATCAATTCGTTCTATTTTAATTTAATAAAATGACGAGATGAAATCTCCAAAGCAGACATTCGACATTTTTTATGACAGGAAAAATATAAAACATTTTATAGAACAGGATCATTTCTACATTAAATACTAACAAATAAGTAATATTTTAAGATCTAGATGAAAAAACTGCAAGCATAATGTTTGCGGGATTAAAATTTAAAATATGATGTAGCTGCTGTTTGTAATCACAGGAAGATTATTTTATTCTATCTATTTTTGTACATATTTCTTCACTATTCTTCTCGAGAAATACAATCAAGAAGTAGTTCATATAGTAGGAAGAAATTCCTCATTGAAGTCTTATTAGTTCTGCTCATTCTGAACTTTTGATTGCTGAAAATTTATACTCTGTTTCCCTATACATAAGATTTTGATACTAGTATGTTTGTTTTATATGTTCATTCCGAATCAAATGCTTATTTTACATCAAAATCTAAAAAAAAAATACAATAATTTTTTTTGGAAATTTAACTTGGAAATGATCCAATTTCTAACATATTCATTGTTTTCTGCTAACAGTAAAAAAGTATTCAATGTCAAATTTGGTGACTTCATATCATCCATGTTCACAAATTTATTAATAATAGAAGATGTTTATTACCTAATGCTCGATCTTGATAATTTAATTTAGTTAACCGTTTATATTCTCTAATTTCTACTTGATCACCTGTTGTGACCATTAAATCCTCTACAAGTCGTACTGTAGATTTTTCACCACATAAATGAATTTCTTTTGCTTGTAGACCTAATGAAAATGAATATAAAAATTCGATAAAAAAAAGAAGATTTTTTTTTAATGTTACCAAGTAAAGCTCGTGTCCATGCCCAACCACGTTGTGGATCACGCATCATTTGAATTTCATCAATAATAGCTACCTCATCTTTAATAAGATATACATATCAATAATTAATCGACAGAAAGTTTTATTTAACTTACAAACTGTAGTTAAATTCGTCATTTCAACTGTACATGCTACATGATTAGCTGGTTTTCCTTCAGGATCAGCAAATCGACGTTCTTCACCAGTAACTAAATCACATTTTGTGCCCTACGAAAAAAAGAATTTTTTTTCGTGGGAAAACGAAACGACTTAGTAAAAATTTTTACTGCAGCATTAGTCTTATAAAAAACTTCAGATGCTAATAATTTTAACGGTCCACAATAAACTCCACTTTCACTATTCATGTAACGTTGAAGTGCATGATATGTCTATCAAAATAAAAAAAGAAACGATTTAATTTTATCTTGTTTTTCCATATATAAATCATACTTTTCCACTATTTGTTGGACCAGCATGAAATATTATTTTTCTTTGTATAGCTCGTGCATCTGGATACCTAAAATATTGTTCTATTTCATTAAAAAAACAAAAATTTAATCTTTTCAAAAATATTTTTACCAATTAGCAGGATCTCGAAGATCACTAATCTTTTTCAAATCTTCCATACATGTTAAATGTGGAAACATTTCTCGTGCATGACGTAAAAAATAAGGAAATATATCTGTTACATGACCTTTTCAAATATAAAATAAGATTATTCGAAGAAAAATAAAATAAAATCTTATACCAGATTCGGATATAATATCACTGAATACAATATGTAAATCAACAGGTAAAACTGTTGATTGAATACAAAATTTTCGAAAACTAACATAAGCATCTTGAAAAAGACGATTATCAAGACCTTGATCAGCAGCTAATGTTTTTATTTCATCCCGACGATAAAAATCTGTTATGATACGAAGAAGTGCATCTTTAAAAAAACAAGATCAACAACTTTTCTTTTTTTTTTTTTTTTATTATAAAATTGAATTTTCGATTTAATCATACTTCGTTCAAGTGTTTTACCACCGGTTAATTCTTGGCCAATGTTTGTATCTGCATTTTGTGATGATGTCGGATCAAGTTTATTGACGGCAGTCATTGGTTTAACATCAATTGGTTGAAAAAGTCGACGTAATGTATTTGTTTGATTATTAGTTTTATTAGAATTTAGTCGATGATGATGAGGATGAGAATGAGGATGATGATGATAAGGTAGAGATGACGATGTTCGATGTCGTTTATTATTACTATGACTTGATGTTGATGATAATTTAATAGAATATTCAGTGAGAATAGATGACTGTGAAAATAAATATCGATAGGAAATCGTTAGAAGCATTCTTTTATTTATCGATAACATATTTAATAATCTAGAAAAAAAGAGTTAATTAATAATCTGTTTAAGTAATAATTTAATACGTGATAGAACAATTTCATTTGTTCCTAAAATATTCTCATATGTATATGGAGCATTTATTTGAACAATACCATTTTGTATTAAAATTGTTATAGAATTATTTTCTTCGAACTTCTCTTGAAATGGTATTCGTTTTGATGAAAGAAATCTACGAATTTTTCCTAAACGATCACCAATAGATTCATCTTGATTATCTGTTGTTGAATTCGAAGGTAAAAATGGATCTTTATTTGCTTGATGAGAAATATTTCGATCGAGAATTTTTAATTGAATAATATCAGGTCGTAAAACGATATGAACACGATTTGATGTATCGTCAATTAGGACAATGCTTAAAAGAAAAAAAGATGAATTATTATATATTTTGGATTTTTTTTATAAAAATCTTCCATTATTGAATTTATTCAAAAGTTGTTAATCACTACAGTAAAGAAAATATTTAATACTTCAGTTTCAATTAGCATCGATGTCTATTGTCTGTCTTAGAAAAGGCATATTATTTCAAAGACAATTTGTTTTTAGTTATCATAGAGTAACTCGTCTTCTGTTCTTCTTCATTTCTGTGGATTTAGTTCTGTTGAAACAGTTATGAAGAACAACAACTCAATTAAAAGATGGTCCAAAAATATTTGTCCAGTATTTTACTTTTGAAACAATGAACAGATGCTTCTTAATACAGTGATCAGAAATTCTGAGATAATATTACCCAGTCGATCCCTACGATATATAAAATATGAAAGTCTTGTTCTGTTAACTTCTGAAAATTTTCGTCTGACTTCACCTTTCCATCAACTTTGTTCAATTAGACTAAAAATCAATATAAAAAAATAATTGCTTGTCGAACCTTTGTGTTAATGGATCGACTGTATAAACTCGCCCTGAATAATTTCGTTCGCCAGCACATTCAATTTGAACTCGATTATCAATCAATGTTGCATAAGTATCAACATCAAAATGAAATGCTTCATTTAATAGATTATCCATAAAAAAATGATTTCTAAAAACAAAAAGAAAGTAACAATAAATGTTCTTTTCTTTTATGTGTTTGTTTATTTTCCTAATCTCAAGCAGGGTTGTTTTTTATCATCGCAATACTACAAAGATATTCCTCGTCAGTGTAAATATGTTTGACAGATGCTGAATTTGCACATTGATTTGTATTAATTTTTTTCGAATTGTGATTCATTTAAACTTAAATAAATTAGTAAACCAGTTATTTTCATTCATGCATTTGATATTAATAAAAGTGTAAATTTTTACAGCATCATCATTATCTTTTAATATTTTATCAAGATCAGATTCTACTCGACTATAAAGACATGTATAATTATTGACAAATAAACATGTTGTGTCATTTCTGTTGGCGTTTTCTATTTCCTAACGACAAGATCAATAGCATTCGTTTTATCTTGTGTTGTCTTCAATGCTGATATTATTGACAAAAAAGATATTCGTAAAACGAATTCTAGAAAATACAAAAAAGAAACTTCAGAACAAACTTATATTATTTAGGTCCGGGAACTGCACCGAAATTAACCCACTTTAGAAAACTGAGATTTCTCAAGATATGAGACGGTCCTATATTATAGGCAAAGGAAATACTTGTTTTCCAGCTTCAAAGAGAGTCTTAGTCTCCTACAAAATTATTCTACTTCTGGTACCAATTCTATGAAAGATGTTTTGTAGATTCTACACGAGAGTGATTGACGGACCTGAGAAATTCAAGTTCCAAAAAATTTGAATCGATTTTCGATTTTTTTAGAAATAAATTAACTCAATCTATATTTCGTTTTAATATCATATTGGTAAAGGTAAAATTCTAATAACATTAGAGAGTATATCTGATTAGTTAATGTATAAACCAATGAAAATGAAGCTAAATAATATGATGAAAATTTAAGAAATATTTCATCAGAAACTACTGACATCAATGCATTACTCAAAATCATATGATCGATAATATTTTATTATCATATTCAGTTGTTTTT